GTGGTACTGCTTGTCATAGGAAAAGGCTGGGAACAACCTAAGCATCCATCAGCTAAGAACTACTTATGGAAACTATGGTGCACTGGAATACTATGCAGCTGTCAAAAGGGGAAACCCAGGACACACTCTGTACGGATGTGGAATGGTTGTAAATATGCTGTTAACTGAAAAAAGCAAGGTGCACAACAATGTGAATAGCAGAGGCTCAATAAAATGTGGTTCCCGGGGCCCTCAGAGTCACCAGCCCCCAGCCCCTGACAACCGGCCTGCTCTCCCTCCATCCCTACCGGGGCCTGCAGTACTTAGGGGCTCTACTTGTCTAAACTTTGCCATTTGTGTAAAACAGCTGGGAGGGGCTTTCCTTGCACATGCAAAGACTATCTCTAGAAGTGTTTACAAAAAACTGATAACGCTGGTTGTCTGTGGGGACAAGAACTGGTACTTGGGGACAGACGTAAGAGAAGGACTTTCTGCCTCTTGTGACTACTGAATTTGGAACCACATGAAAACATTAGCATGTCAAAAAAGTAATTTGGCCCTGGCTGGAGTGGCTCAGAGGATTGAGCCCCGGCACTGTCCCTATGACTGAGGTGGGCTAGGCCTGGGTCTCAGGCCCACTTTTAGAGCTTGGGGGTGGGCTCACTCTCACTGGAGACTGGAAAATGGAGCGTGGTCACCGCAATAAGAGGCACAGCTGCTGGGCAAGGAAAATAGCACTCGCTCACTACCTTCCTGGACTCTCCCCGTCTTCCATGCCATGGTCTGCTGGGCGTCTCTTGTTTCCTGGTCACACCGTGCGTCTACTAGTACTCACTCCTCTTGGCCTTTGTCTCCGCCTCTGCCTGCTCCTCCTGGAATATCCTTCGCTTTGTCTGCCTGGCAAACTCCTACTCATCCATTAATGCCCTACTCAAATATCACCTCCTCCTTGAAGGCTTCCTAACTCCCCCATCAGCTTCCCCACCTCTAGCAGAACAAATCCTTCTCACTGCTGTTCTTTTTGATTTTCTTTCAATCTGCAGTCACTGACAGAGCATCCTCCATGCTGGCCTGGGATCGAGAGGGGTGAATCAAGGCTGGCCCCTGCCTTCAGGGACCTCTGCTATCATACAGAATATCGGGTTTAGAACTGGTGGTTTGTTCCACTCAGGGCCAGCTGTCCCCTGAGCGCCAGGGCCCTGCCTTGGCCATCTGTGTCTTCTCTAGTCCAGCATAGCGCTAGGCACCAGGGAGGTGGCAAATATGAGTTTTCAGAAGGAATAATGACAATGTGCCTTGGAGGGACAGGAAGTGCTGACTCTGCTCCCCAGGCCAAGGGACAACAGTGAGGCTTGGGTGCTCCCAGGGGCCTCTGGGAGGAAGTGCCGGGGCCGGTCCCTGCTAGAACAGGGCTGTCACCACTCTGGAAACCCCCATGGCCCTGGGCCTGGGGCCAAAATCCGGACACAAAGGAAAGTCCCCCAGCGAGGCCACCCAACTCCCAAGGAAGGATCCAAGGAAGAGGCAAAGGTAGCTCCAAGGGGACATTCATATCGAATCCAGCCTCTGATGGATCAGAGTTCTCTGAACGGGGTGAAGAGCAAGGAAGGCCGGGCTGGAGTTGGCTGGAGCCCAGGGGAGGAAGGAAACAAGAAACAATCAAGGAAAAATCTCACCCAGTCCCGGGGTTGGCTCAGGTCACAGAGCCTGGCAGGCTGAACTCCAGGCTGGGATGAAGGAGGCTTCCTGGGGATCGGGCGCAGTGAGGGAGGGTGGGGATGGAGGCTGAGACCCCTCTAGAGACCTCAGCTCTTCTCACTGCCCTTCTAGATGCCCCCAAGACTATCACCACCCTTCCCTTGTGACCCTGTGCTCCCAGGCCTGTCCCCAGACTCCTGGTCCCTATCGTCCCACCTGCCTCCCAGGGCCCTAGGTTCCTGGGTAGGTGGGGCTATAGAGCGCTGGCTCCAGCCTGGAGGTCCTTCCCTGCCAGTCCCTTTGTCATCCCCAGACAATTTTGGAGGAGGGGTTTTGACTCTCTCCCCCTGGGCCCCTGGGGACTGGGCCTGCTGACGTGGATGATTTCCAGGAAGATGATGCCTGGAGGGGAAGGAAGGGCTGAGTCAGTCCCCCAGTGGTGATTACAGGGCTCTGTGTTGGGGGAGCAGCCGTGGGGTTGGGGGGAATGGCCTGGGTCCATCCCAGGGCCCGGCACAGGTTCCAGGCCGAGGAGAAGGAAGTTGAATACCCTGTTCAGGGTGGTTCTCCATGGCAGCCTTCCTTGCCTGTAACCCTCCCTCATGTCCTGCTGGGTCCTGCCCCCTTACAGCCACCAGGGTGTCCAGGAAACCTTCCAGCAAGAGCAGTCCAGGGCCTGGCTGAAGCATCAGACCCTGAGCCTGGGGTGCAGACTCGGGGAGGGGAGGCAAAGCACTGGGTGGGGCAAGCGGCCTGAGTGTCTATTGAGCCAGGAATGCAGGACAGCACAGCCTCCCCCTGGCTCAGGGTCCCAGCCTCCCTGCCCACACTCAGGCTCTTACACACAGCCTGAGAGGTTACGTCAAAAACCCAATTTTAGTCGATGAAATTTTGGTTTATAAATGCTCCTTAATTGCAGGGCTCCCACGGCGGCTGGGCGTGGCCACAAAGGTCCTGTCCATTCAGCAGGCCTGGGAGGTGCTGGCTGCAGGCTCCCCCGGCTTCCTTGGGCCCCAGCCAAGAGATACAACTTCATCTGTGAATGGGACCGTGAGCCCCCTTACCTGAGTGCTTGCAAAGGGCAGAACTCACGGCCGGGCACAAATCACGCCTTGGATGTGGGCTTTGTGGAGGCCACTTGCTCTGGCTGATGGTGGTATTGTCATTCCAGGTCAGGTGGCAAGGCCGGCCCGGCACCCCCCAAAGCTCCTGTTATGTACGTTGTGTCCATGAAACTGTCTCCTGCCAAGGCGATGTGTTCCCATCAACAAGACACACATGAGTCCCTTTTCTTGTTTGGGGTCCACTGAACTCCCACTTTACAGGAAGTAAGTTCAGAAAGGGACTGTCTTTTATCTGCGACCACGGAACAAGTCAGCAGCAGAGCCAGCTCAGAGCCTGGGCCCATGGCGCAAACGCAGTGCTCAGGGCTTGGTAGAGCTGCACCCTCCGCCCAAGGGCTGTGTTGTGAGAGGGGAAGGCAGAGGCGACAATGGCTAGGCAAGCCCCCTGAGTGGGGAGCAGGGCCCAGAGCCTGTACTTCTTGACATTTTCAGGCTGAGCAAATTACTGTCAGCTCCCCAAGCTTTGGTTTCCATTTCTGTAAAGGGGAATAGTGACGTTGGCTCTGCCCACCTGGCTGGGCTCTCAGGGACAGGAAGCACTTAGTCAGGGGCACAGGCAGGTGTGGGTGGCTGCCTGGCAGAGCCCTGATGGCAGCGGGGGAAAAAAGTATAGCTCTTATGCAACTGCATCACAGTTTTGCCCAGGGCCACCACGTCCCTCAACAGTAGGTTAGAAGTTCAACAGGGGTCCCACCAGGCTCGGACCAGGTGGCAGCGGGGCTGTGTTCCTCTGGGGGCCCCAGGGGAGGATTTTTCCTTGTTTTTTCCAGCTTCTAGGGGCTGCCGACATTCCTTATTTGTAGCCCCTTCCTCCATCTTCAAAGGCAGCGACGTAACACTTCTGTGGCCCATCAGCCATTGCCACAGCTTTTTCCTGAACGCTCCTTTTCTGTCTCCCTCTTCCCTTTTAAGGACCCTTGATATTATTATACAGACCACCAGGGGAACTCAGGGCCTATTTTAGTCAGTTGGTTAGCAACTGTAATTTCGTCAGCAACCTCTATTATTCTTCACCATGTACCAGAACATATTCGCAGGTCCTGGAGACGAGGACATGGACATCTTTGGGGGGCATTATTCTCCCTGCCGTTTCTCCCTATCCCTTCCTCTCTCCTGACTTGGGCTGACCCCATTGCCACCTCCGGCATCCTTCTTTACTTCAGGACGTTTTGTCTTCCTGATTTTGCCTCCCTCAGAGTCCCTCCCACATTTACAGTATGGAAGTTTTTACCATCCTGGTTACATTGTACTATCAACCTCCAGAAGGCAAGACCCACTCACCCCATTACTATCCACTCTTCCTATGCCCCACTCTTCTTAGCACTTGCCCACCGGGAAGGGTATCCCGGTGTACTTGGGGGCTTGGGTTTCCTCCATCTCCCTTCATTGGACTGGAGGTCCCCACCCAGAGGGGATCGAACCCCGGGGACAAGAACAATGCAGGGACCCAGGAGAAGCTCAACAGGTATTTGTTGAATAGCTAAATGGAGCAAGGGCACAATTTATTTCAATCTATTTCTAGCACCCTGTGTAAGGCCTGTCCTTCAATAAACGTTTCTAGTATTGCATAAGTGAGTGAATGAGTGGTGAATGAATGAACGAACCAACCTCTGGAATGGGTGTAAGTATGGGTCCCATCCGGTTCTACCTCTTCCCTTCTCCCCCTCCCCGGAAGCCGCCTAACCTGATGGCAAATTTGTGTCCAGGCCACCCCACCTGCACACTCTCAATGTTCTCTTTTCTAGGGGGTGGTAAACTCCTGAAAGCTCTCACGAATCTGTAATATTTTAACGTAGGCGCCTTCAAAGCCTCATTCATTCCTTTGGTAGTCACTGAATACACTTGTGCAGGCGCCTCCCTGACCCAGCCCTCCAGGGAGGGAACGGGTTCAAGGACGCTCTGTGAATTCTCAGCCCTTCTAGAATGGGGAATTTGGGCTCAGACAAGCATAGCCGGAGTCCGCGGAGAGCATCCCGAACACCCGCTACCTCCTGGCTCGCAGCCGCCAGAGCCGGCACTGGACCCCCGTGCCTGCAGACCTTCTAGTCCCGGGTGTCGAGCTGCCAAAGAGGGAGCCCAGGCGGGGCCCGGAGTGGGGCGGGGATGTGGGTGGGGCCAGTGTGGGAGGCCCGGGCATTGGCTCCGTGGGCCGGGGGCGGGATTTCAGGGGCCAAGGCCAGCCCCGTAGGTTCACAGCCGGGATACTCTCCCTTCGCCGCGGCGTCCTGCGCCGGAGCTTTAGTCACCCGTGGGATTGCTGCTTGCGCGCTGAAGGTGAGTTCACGCTGGGACTCTGCAACCTGTCGGCGGTTCCGAGGGGGTCTCCTGAGAGGCCCATCCCTTTGGCATCCCGTCGCAGCTCGCATCCCGGCCCCCATCTCACCTCCGCGCAGGTTCTTTCCCGGGAGTCTTGGGCTCCGCGGTGTTTCCCGCTCGCGCCTCGGTCCTGGCGGCCACACCCGTGCCCTCTCTGCCTGCGGGGCGCCGTGCATCCTGAACCCGAACTCCGGATCCTACCCCCCACCCAGCTCCTGAGCCCTACTCCACCCCCGGGATCCGGGAGCGCCTTCCTGCCGCCCTCCGTCCCCATCCTGGGCTGGGGGTCGTATTTTTAGCGGATGGTGAGGTGTCCTCCTATCTTTAGCCACGGCCGCAAACGTCCTGAAACGGATCCGGGCTGGGCTGGGCTGGGCTGCACTCAGGCACAGGGCGGGGAGGGGTCGGCGCCGGAACCCGAGCTGGGCTGAGGAGCGGGACGCGCGGGAGCCAGGGGCGGGGGCCCGCACGCCGGAGCTCTGGCCCTGTGCCGAACGGACACTCGGACCTCGTCCAGGCCGGAAAGCACAAGGGAGGCTCCTCCCAGAGCTTGGAGACCCTACCCTGGTAGGGTCCCCGATCGCACCCTTTTCCTCGTGATTGGTTGTGAGACAGAATTCCCCAAGAGAAGAAGATCCCGCAGACAATCCGCATCTGGTACGCAAACGTGCCACTCCTTGGAGGCATCTGCCTAGAGCCAGAGGCGCGCTGGAGACCCCGGTGCGCGCCCGGATTCCTCCGGGACTTGGGGCGATAGAGATAGCGAGCGCGCCACCTAGCGGCCTCCACTCGAGCGCCGCGCCGCCCCGGGACCCCGGGAGACCCCCAAGGTCCGCAGGGGAATTCTGCGCAGAATATGCGGGCGGACGGGCGGGCGGGAGGAGGTGGACGCCGGGGGCCAGAGGCCGTTGGGGTTTGGTCTTGTTGGGAACACTGTCCCTAGACCACCAAAGCGCTTGAGGGAGGCCCTATAGACATTTCCTGAATAAAAGGCCGGGCTGACAGCGGCATTGGTGCTCTCAATTGCAGTGTAGCGACAGGGTCTCCAGTGGCTCTCCGGTGATGGCTTTATTGCCAGCCCATTTTGTGGATGGGGAGGGTGAGGTCCACAGAGGAACAGTGTCTTTCCCAAGATCAGAGTGAGTCCCAGGTGGGAATGGATCCAAGGTCGGTCTCCTGATTTTAAGGTCAGGCTTCTCTTCGAACGCCGCTGGTAGGGAGTAGCCTGGTATTCCCCGTGAGGGGAGGGGCTCTACCTTCTGAAAGTCATTTTCTCTGAAGGAGACCAGAGTGGCTGGTTACCAGTGCCCACCCTTCCTCAGCTAGCTGGGTGACCTCAGCAAAGTTACTTCATGTCTCTGAGGTTCAGTTTCTACCTCTGTAAAAGTCAGTAATGACACCCACAGTGCTGTATCTGGGAGCATTAAAATGAAAGCTGTGCAATGGTAACCGGAGCCTGGGGTCTTGTAGTTGCCAAATTTGAATTCTTGGGGCTTGATGGTTGCAGTTCCCAGCTCTCCCCTGGGTGGCCGACGCTGGCCCAACCCTTCCTCGATAGCCTCAGTTCTCCCCACATCTGGAATTGGGCGGTATATCTGGCTCTGAGTGAGGCAGCTGTCAGGGACGCCCATTTTGTTGTGGAAACGCTCGGGCTGTCTCGGCACCCCTGTGTGATGGGAGCGGGGACCTGGCCCAGGCTCTGAGCGGTCCCGCCGGTCAGCCGCACTCTCCGTGAGTGAAAAGGAAAAGCCATCCCAGGACTTCTCCCCCGCCAAGGGGGCAGAGAGGATGTGTGTCAGCAGGTGTCCCCCCACCCCCAGGCCTGGCATGTGAGATGGATGAGTGAGGGACTCCAAGACCTAGAGGCGGCTGCAGCCTCCCCACCCTGCCCCCAGCTCCTTCCAAGCTTAGCTGGAATTCCGGCACTGGAGTCATTCCTTTGTTTCCTGTTAAACTGCAGGTGCTCTGGGAGGGGCAAGATGTCCGGTCTCTGTGGCTCAGCGTGATTGACCCGGGGTGTCCGGTGCTGGGGTGGGGTTTCCTGAGTGAGTGCCTGGACTGAGGAGGTGAAGAGAGTTGCGATTCTGCCTTCCTCCTTCCTGCCCCCTCCTGCCAGCTCCTCTACCGCCCCTCACCCTGCCCAGGAAGAAGAATGGGGCAGAGAAGCTAGCAGGGGCTGTTCTGCGGCTGATCTGCTCCTCTCTGGCTGATTTCCCGCCTGCCGGGCTGGAGATGGTGCAGTGGGAGATGGCGGGCCCACCTGGGTACCCGCTGGGTAACCTTGGACACGTTCCTTTCTTTGCCTTTTGTGCTCTGGCTCTACATCTGTATCCACGTGTTGGGGCCAGTCCCCCACCGTGGGAACTAGAGGCAGCACTCGCAAGGCTTCCTTTTTCTGCAAACCAGTATGACGCCCCTTCAGAGTGTTTATTTTTCCACATTAAAAATACTTTTTTCTGATTTCATAAATAATATGTGCACATAAGTAATACATGCTTATTAAAAAATTGAGCTTATAAAAAGTATGAACCAGAAAAGCGGAGTCACTGAAAATTCTACCACCTCGAGAGAACCACCATCAACATTTTGGCCACCATCTCTTGATATTTACATATTTTATTCGATAGTAACAGACCAAATATTAGATAATTTTTAAAAAACTTTAAATGATTTTATGTATTCATTTCTAGGGAGAGGGGAAGGGAGGAAGAAAGAGAGGGAGAGAAACATCAACGTGCGAGAAAAAGATCGATCAGTTGCCTCTTGTACTTCCCCAGCTGGGAACCTGGCCCACAACCCAGGCATGTGCCTTCACTGGGAATTGAACCAGCGACCTTTAAGTTCACAGGCCGGTGCTCAACCCACTGAACCACACCAGCCAGGGCAATATTAGATAATTTTTACTGAGGACACTTGTCCTCCCACCTCACTGACCCCACATCCCATCCCTGCCCCCCAACCCAGAGTAGGTAGCCCATATAACTATCCTAGTGCCGGCCTTCATATTTTCCATTCTAATGTGTATAACCCTAGGCAGACCTGTAAATGTAGGTACATATGCATGTGTATACAGGGAGGGGAAGGGGAGCTGGTCAAGACTTCTAATAAATGGAATCTTCTCCACAACATTTTTGTATTTTGCTTCTCTCCCTCTACAGTGCCTTGTGGGAATTCCTCCAATGTCGTATAACTCCAGTTTTTAAATGGGGATGATAGGAAGGTGGCTGATAAAACGAGATTAGATGTATTTGTGAAGAACTTAGCAAAATGCCAGACATAGAAAGCTCCCCCCAAAAAATATATGTACCCCCCCAGTCCATCTCCCTCTCAGGTACTAGGGCAAGGAGGGGGGCAAAAACTACATCAGGCCTAGTATCTGCCCACAAGGAACTCCTACCTGGGAGGAGGGAAACCCTCAGGCGACCTCACTTCCAGGTGGGACGTGATTGGGCCAATTCAGAGCTGTCTCAGTCAGGCCAGGGTGCACTAGGCCTGGGTGCCTGAGATAGAGGTTATGAGATCTCTGTCCTCTGTCAAGTGGGGAACTGAACGCAACCTGGGAGACTCATCAGTTATTGGGGTACCATCGATGTGCATGAGGGGGTGAGTGCACAGGTGACGGTGATGAGCAGAGCCAGGGACCCAGGGCAAGAGACCAGATCCGGGACTGCGGGCCTGTCACTCAGGTTCCTTGTGAGAGAGAGGCTTGGTGCTGGTGATCCAGGCCTTAGGTGCAGCAAGTCCACGACTAAGGAAGTGCATGCTCCTTCCGGCAAGGCCCCCGCAGCAGGGCGGCCCCACTTCGGCCCCCGGGGCTGGCCTAGAAGGCCCAGAAGTGAAATGGAGCCTTCTGGCTTTTGTCCTTCTGTCCCTGACTTGTACCCTTGGTGTTTCAGCTCCTCAGCTCAGGACCAGGGAGACACGCGCAAGGACAAGACCAGGGAGCACTGCGGCCTACAAGATCTCCGCCTTTCTGCTGCCAATTTTCAGAAGTTCTCAACCCTCTGGGAGAAAGTGGTTTTTGTTATCTCAACCCTCTGACTTCATCAATCATTAATCTTCTTCTAATTCCTGTGCCAGCTTTGGCCACGCCCCATACCCTACTGTTAGCCTTTGACAAGGATTTGGTGTCTGGAAGCCATCCCCTGGTGCTTCTGGTGGAGCGGGGAGAGGAGGCAGCAGGAGGCTGTGGTCTCGGCAAGCGGACTGTCTCCAGCCTGCGTGGTGAGGTCACTATGTCCACCAAGGCGCCCATCTACCTGAAGCGCGGCAGCCGCAAGGGCAAGAAGGAGAAGCTTCGAGACCTGCTGTCCTCAGACATGATCAGCCCACCACTGGGGGACTTCCGCCACACCATTCATATCGGCAGTGGTGGCGGCAGTGACATGTTTGGTGACATCTCCTTCCTGCAGGGCAAGTTTCACCTCCTTCCAGGGACAGCGGTCGAGGGGCCGGAGGAAGACGGCAACTTTAACCTCCCCTTCCAGTTCACCCGCACAGCCACGCTGTGTGGGCGGGGGCTCCCCGAAGGGCCATCCCCTCTGCTTAAGAATGCCATCTCCCTCCCGGTCATCGGTGGGCCCCAGGCCCTCACCCTGCCCACAGCCCAGGCCCCACCCAAACCCCCTCGCCTGCACCTGGAGACCCCTCAGCCCTCCCCACAGCCTTCCCCGCAGGAGGCAGGGAGTATGGACATCTGGAGAATTCCAGAGGCTGGCTCAGCCCGAAATGGGCTGACCCCTGAGTCAGGGTCTGAGGAGCCCTTTCTGTCCCACGCCAGCTCCCTGCTCTCCCTGCACGTGGACCTGGGGCCTTCCATCCTGGACGACGTGCTCCAGATCATGGACCAGGACCTGGGCCATATGCGGATCCCCACATAGGACCTGAGGCAAGCCAGGCTGGAAGGCCAGGCTGGGGTGAATGCTGGGAAGCAGGGGGTGGACATGGGCCTGGCCTAGAAGTTGGGATCCCAAGTCCTGCCTATGTGGTCACTGGCCAGTGATGTCTGACTTTGAGCCTTTGTTTTCCTCCCTCCCACCCTCTCCTCATGGGCAGAGTGCACCTCACTGCTTTCCCTTAAAACCCGTGAAGATACTTGCCGAACTCAGCCCAAAGGGCCTTGAGTATGTGGGGCCCCCGGGCCCCCACCGCCAACTGCTCCTCCTTCCCTCAGACCTCCGGGACGAAGGCTTTGCTGAATCGGACTTCCCTTTCACCGCTCTTCTGCCTCAGCCATCGCAGATGCCCTGACTGGGGGGTGGGGAAGAGGCAGGGCTCAGCCAGCCAGACCGTTGGTGTCATGTCCTTGCCTGGGAGCGTGGCATCAATGACCGAATGTCCCTCTACCCTATCCTCTCCCACATGACCAGGGGTTCTGGTCGCAATAAAACTTGCTGCTGCTCATAGTTGTGCTCCCCATGCCCTTGTCCCTGAAGACAGGATGGTCTCTGTGACCTGGGCTAACCCTAAGGGAGACCACAGTTCCTGGCTGTGGCATGGGGCTGGGAGGGATGCAGCAGTGCTGATCAGCAGACTCTTCAGCAACGCTGTTAAATGAGCACCTACAGTGCACTTGGCATGCTCCCGGTACTGGGGATATAAGACAGGCGTTCTCCCTGATCTCCTGAAACTTACATTCTAGGAGAAGAAAGATACTAAATTTGTGAGCAATTAAGATGACTTCCAATAGTGTTGGATGCTGTGAAAAAAAAACGTGCCCTGGCCGATGGCTCAGTTGATTGGAGCATTATCCTTTACGTACGCCAGAGAGGTTGCAGACTCAATCCCCAGTCAGGGCACATACGTAGGCCGTGGGACCGATCCCGGGTCGGGATGTGTACAGGAGGCGACCGATCAATGTTTCTCTTTCACATTGATGTTTCTCTCTCACCCTTCCTCTCTCTCTAAAATCAATGAATATATCCTTGGTGAGAGTCCAAAACAATACAAAATAAAAAACGTGATCAGGAATGCCTGGGGCAAGGGTAGAGATGGTGCCGGCACATTAGGGCCATCACGTGATTTTGAACCAAACCTAGGGCACTTATTAATAGGTATTTATTCCCTGTAGATAGTTTTATGCTTGTCTTTGCCTTTTAAAAAAACTTTTTATTTATTGATTTTAGAGACAGATGAGAGGGAGAGAAACATTGATTTGTTGTTCCACTTATTTATGCATTCATTGGTTGATTTCTGTTTGTGCCCCTACCGGTGATGGAACCCACACGTTGGTGTATAAGGACAAAACTAACCAACCGAGCTACCTGGGCAGGGCTTGTCTTTACCTTCTTTAAGCACAGCAAGCAATGTTATTTTGTGGTCATTATCAGATAATTCCAATATTTTAAATCTTTGTGAGTCAATTTATGTTTTCTGTTGTTTGTATCATATCTTGTGCAGGGTTTCTTGTTTCTTTATGGGCCTGATTATCTTTGACTATGGACTGGATGGATATCATATCTGAAAAAATGTTTTTAGAAATAATTTCAAGCTTTGGACGACAGTACATTCCTTCAGAAAGGATATTGCTTGGTACCAAATATACTGGCTTCTGACAGGTGACTGGGGGCATTATAGAATGGTTCCATGTTCAACCCAAGTTTAATCCAAGTTCAAGGCTTGAGCTTCCCTGGACCACCCAGGTAATATGACTCTGGGCTACACGTCTGTAGAAGAGTTCCATCTTAAAGTGTGTATGTGTGTGTGTGGTGGGGTATCTGACCTCCTACCTTGGGCAGGCTCTGGGTTTTGATTTTTGACAGTTCCAACCAAAGACTACCAAACAACAGCTCCATTTCACAGTTATATCTTCCAGATCAGTAAATGTCTCCAAAACAAAAATTGCTTTGAATTCTGGTACCTCTCTGGGTTTAAGCCTTCTCAATGTTGGCCCAGTAATTCTTCTCTGTATTATTAGTTTTTCAATGATTTTAAGATTTTTTTTTCACTTTCTCTCATTTTTAGTTTGTCTTCAGTGGGAGCATTGGAATTAAATGCCTAACCAGGAGCCTGTCTTCAGTTAACTACCTGAATGTAATATTAAGATCCCCTGGGTTTCATTTATATTTTTATGTGTCTCCGCTGGGTAATAGCAATCCTATTGCCCCTTAACAATTAGCATCAATCACCCCAGCCAATAGTGGTACCCCCTTTTTACTTTCTTGCCCAGTGGATATAGAATGTGAAATGACCCATTGGCAGTCTCAGCTCTTAATTTAGAGAAATCATATTGTGCCCCCTGGTGGAAGTTTTGCTCCCTCTGGTCGTCCTTAAGGCTCTAGATCAGCCAGAGCGAGAACCCAGAGCTGCAGGCACAGGAAACATTTCAAGAGTCATTAGCTGAAATGGCAAGCGGCTGCACCCCTACTTCCAATCTTCGGTTCCTGTCTGTAAGGAAAACACTATGTATACTGGGCACTGGTCCTGAGCATGTAGAGTATCTACTGTTCAGTGATGTAGCCTATCTTAAAAGAATCCTTTGATATTGGGCTCATACACTGCCTTTCCAATTACATAGAACTAGACTACTTGTTAATACTGATATTTTTTCTTTTAAAATTTTTATTGAATTATACATACAAAGAAGTGCACAAATCTTGTGTAGTTCAGTTAATTTTTACACAATGAACAAACCTACGTAACCACTACCCAGGTGAAGAGAAGGAACATCACCAGCACTGCAGTCGCCACCTCATGCCCCCTCCTTGTCACGATCCTGTAAAGGTGACCACTCTCCTGAGTTCCAGCCCCACAATGTGTCTGTTGATGTAACTTTATACAAGTAGAATCATACAAGATGTCCTCTTTTAAAACTGGCTTCTATTCAATATTAACTTTTGAGATGGATTCACGTTGTTGTGTAGCAATAATTTGTTCTTTCCATTGTTGTTTAAATCATTCTGCTGTTGTGGGCATTTGGGATGATTCCAGTTTGGGGCTATTACAATGAATGCTGCTATGAATGTTCTTGACATGCTTTTTGGTGTATACCCACAATTGGAAATACTGCATCCTAGAGCATGTAAATGTTCAGCTGTAGTGCTAGCATACTCTGTTAATAAGCTCGGGCTGCTGGAACAATGCCAGGGACTGGGTAGCTTCAACAAGACGTTTATTTCTAACGGATCTGTGGAAGTTCAAGATCAAGGTACCAGCAGATTCGCCCCTGGTGAGAGCCCGCTTCCTGCCTTGTAGATATCTGCCTTCTTGCTGTGTCCTCACTTGGCCTTTCCTTGTGGAAAGAGATATCTATGACTTCTTCTTAAAAAGGCACTAATCCCCATCTTGAGGGTCCTGCCCTAATGACCTCACCTCCACGGAATTACCTCCCAAAGGCCCCACCCTCAAACAGCATCATATTAAGGATTAGGGCTTCAATATGAATTCAGGGGGAACACAGACATTTAGGCCATATCACATACTTTTGACTCCTGCATTGGGGCCAACTCCGATACCCTTTCTCCCCACAATCATTTGGTTCCCAGAGGCAAAAGAGTACACCAGTATTACCTCTGGTTTTTCTCCTAAGCTGCTGATATCTACTCTGCAAGTTTGGTGCAAGGTAGACGATAACAAATATCTCACAACACTCATCTGCCAAATGTGATTTTAAGGCACAGTCATGTCGTGATTCTGAAATATTAAAACGGGGGGAGAGGCCCTGGCTGGTGTGGCTCAGTGGACCAAGCGCTGGCCTGTGAACTGAAAAGTTGCTGGCTCGTGTCCCAGTCACGGCGCATGCCTGGGTTGTGGGCCAGGTCCCCAGTTGGGGGCGTGTGCGAGGCAGCTGATCGATGTATCTCTCACACATGGATGTTTCTCTCCCTCTCTTTCTCCCTTCCCCTCTCTTTAAAATTAAATAAATAAAATATTTAAACAAATAAAAAATAAAATAAAATAAAATGGGGAGAGAGAAAAGGGAATATGTGCATCTTGGAATTGATGGACTAGGCGTATGACAAGGACCAAAGACCGAGCCTTGGGGGGACTCTGATAGCTACAGGTGGAAGAGAGCAGCGAAACAGGCTGACGGAACAGACAATGTGACAGGACAGCCAGGTGCATATCTCAGAAAACTGGAGCAGAATTTGATAAAGAAGGGAATGGTCACTGGTGTCCTAGGAGGCTGTTGAGGACTGAGAAGAGATCTCGAAAGTTGTTAAAATGAGGTCATGGTGACTTTGTTAGGAGCTGTTTCAAGTGAACTGGTAGGAACAAAATCCCCACTAAATTAAACAGAAAGACTTAGAAATAAGTCAATAGAAATAGAGAATATAAACAGAACATTTGCTATGAAAAGATGAAAGAAATGAGGTGATAATCGAAGGCAGATGTGGGCTTCAGGAAGGGCTTTGCTTTTTTAAAAAGAGAATATTAAGCCATGTATGTACACGAATTTGCATGATTCAACAGTGGGGAAATGAATGGTACAGAAAGAGGGCTAGTTGTAGGAGGGAAATTCTTCAAAATCTAAGTGCAGGGGACAGCTTAGATAGCAGTAGGAAGCAAAGAAGAAGAGGAGGGTACCAGTTAAGTTGGTGGCTGAGTTTGGTGGTAGGAAGGTGAGTAACTTTTGTCAGACCCCAGTGTGTAGGCCAAACAACTACCCAGTTCTGGGCGTTAGTGTTCCTCTCCCTAAAATGGTCCCGTCTGACAGCCCAAGTGCACCCTGCACGACTCTTACCGGCCGCTATCCACCAACCAACCCCGTCGCCTGTGATGAGAACAAAAGGTTAACCACAGGGTTAAGGGTCGGCATGGTAGCAGGATGAAAGCGCTCCATCCAGCCCATCTCTGGGCCTGCCAGTTTTCATCAACCTAGCCATCTCCCCGTAACCAGGCGACATCCTCCCTCCCTCCTCCAAATGGAGAAGGTGAGGCTCCAACGGGAGGCTCGGGGAGCGCCTGCGCATCGGGGTCCTCGGCTCCCTGGCCGCAGCGAGCCGGCTCGAAGCTTGTTCCCTGTCTTTCGCTCTAGAGGGCGCGCGCGCTCTGGTGGCGCCTGCGCAGAAGGACTAGGAAACTGGGTCCCCCGTTAGGTCTCGGCGCCTGCGCGCTGAGGGCTCCGGGCCTCTCGGCCTGAGGGAGAGGAGCAGGGAAGATGGCGGCTGTGGTGGAAAATGTAGTGAAGCTGTGAGTGGTCGTTTCTTTCTCTCCTAGGCCAGGAGGTCTTGTATGGGGCCTGGAAGGAGGGGGCGGTGCGGGAAGGGCCGAGGCGAAAAGAGGGACGTGCCCGGGAAGGCCATGTCGCGACTCCTACTGGGAGGGCAACAGGAGACTCCGGAGAAGACGTTTCGCTTCTTTGGAAACTTGTGGAGGCCCTGAGGGGGGCACACGGGAGCCCCTTACGGGCAGCCTCCGTGGGATGTGTGGGGCTGTGCGGTCTGAGCACTCCTTCAGGCTTACGGTTTCCAGAGTGTGGCGCCCTTGTTGCGTATGACGGACACAGTCCCCAGGTCGCTCCCGAGACGCCGCAGTCCGGAGGAGCCGGGCCGAGGGCGGACCCGGGACCGGCCCGTGTCCTCGCGCAGCCGGGTCGCCGAGCTCTCGCCGTCGGCTCCTGCAGCCGGCCCTGACGCAACAGGCTCGGCCGCTCGGCGCCGTGAAGCACCGCGGGACTGTTTTGTTCCAAACAGCTCTATGACGTCGGGGTGAGGGCTCTTGGGTATGAGGACTCAAGACCAGAAATATTCTCGGGAAGAATTTGTTGAAGAGCAGAGGCAGAAGGGAGAGAACTTCAGAGGAAAGGGCCTCCGCGCCGGCCAATCCCAGCCGTCAAAACACGGGAACTGGACGGAAGCTGTCCAGGGCGCCTTCGCCGGGCTCCAGACGCGGCGAGGTCGGCTGTCGTCGCGCCAGGCAGTATCCTTGTGCTCGGCAGATTTCGGGCAAAGTTAAAGTTAACGGTTGGGGAAATGGAGAGCGGCCTGAGAGCTACGAGTGAAAGGTGCTTTGGGACTTGATGTAACCCAGCCTCCTCCCTGAAGAGGAATCTGAATGAGTTTTTAAATGGGTTCGTGCCCCGTGGCGAATAGAGCAGGCTCCTTTTGATTGCGCTTGGTGCGGGGTAGGAGAATCGGGAGGTGTGTCGTTGTCCAGTTAGGGCTTTGGGATTTTGACTGGACGACGAGGTGAAGGTTTCGGAACGGTCCTAAGGGACTCACAGCTTCTCGTCTGTCTTTGTGGTGGGCTGAAGCCTCGTTCTTTCCAAGAGCCTTTAGAAGGGTACATTGCTTCTCCCCCCTGCCTGGAGCCTTGGCTTTGAGAATGCTTTCCCCCTTCCATTAAGCTAAGTGCCTTCTCTTCCTGTGGGTTTGGTTTGTTTTTTTTTTTTAAACTTTCATCTGGATCCTGCTGCTTCTTACAGCCATTCCTCCTCCCAACGTTATTATCTTTCTTTCTGATCTGCTCACTAGTTTCCCTGGCGCTCTTCTTCAGGCTACTTCCCCTCAATTTAGAAGTGACACTGTTGGTCTACCACTTACATAGTTATTCTTCATGACTCAGATGTTCTTTCTTTGTTTCCCTGCCTTTCTCTTTGTTGACTCCCCCCGTCCTGTGGTAAGGGGAGTTTTTACACAGGTTTGCTACCTCCCGAAAAAGAAAGCTAATACCTTGGAAATCTACTATTCTAGAGGAATGCCAGGCTTGCCTACATTTTGAGAGTTATACATAATGAGATTTTTTTTTATGTTGAAAGACTTTCTTCTGGGAAATAGGGTTGTCAACCCTTTTGTGTAGTGTTAGAAGTGAGGGGTTGCCCATTTAAATAAACGTACGACTTCTTATTTCTCTTTAAAGCACTATAGTGATGGTGAGGGTCACCAGCCACTGGTTCCTGAGTACCAGTAATCAGAAACAGACGTTCTCCTCCTCTGTTCTAGCTGCAGAGGGCTGTGGATCACAATTGATGCATTTTCCTTCAGGATTTTCTCTTTAAGAAGGGGCTTTCTTTCTTCCAGGACCATTCTCACCCTGGGAAAAGACGCTCTTCTGTTGCTTTTCTTGATCATTGTGTGCTTCGTCCTCCGACAACTGAGGTTATATATTGAGGGCAGGACTGCTAGCTCATCTTTTCTGACTTGCATCTTGTTCTGGGAGAGGAATGTTCCTATTTGTAAATTCTCCATCCCTCCAAATGTGGTGTCATATTTGAAATAGTCTTTGAGGTATCTTATCAGGGTAAAATAATAGTAGTAAATAGCTGTGGCAGCTGACTAGTTTTGAAACCTTCCGAGTTAGGTAACAAGATCTAGAGAATAACGTTATCTTGAAATTTCTTGTGATAGGAACATTAGGTTTTTAAGAGCTCTCATTCTTCCTTTCTCTCTCATCATCAGATCCTCTCTCCCCCCAACTTGTTTCATTCTCAGCTCTCTTTCTCACGAGACAGTTTGCCCCACTTAACTCGCAAGAACTTTGATAAAACATCTCTCATCCATTCCCCTCAAACTGTTTCTAGCCTCCTTGCTCTGACTTTGCAGCTCTCAGCCCATCTGGCTGTTCCTTCCATTTCACTTCCAGTGTCAGTATCAATTCCCATCAGCAGAAACAAAGGAGCTGCTGCACTCAGCCTTGTTTTATCCAGTTGTCCTCTGTGTTATGAGGACATGGCTGCCTCCTAAAGGCGAGCAAACATGAGCCTGTTCGATTCTCTCCACTCTTCAACACAAGATTTATGGCTGCCTCAAATTATAGTCATTACAGCTCGTTGAATCAAGTCAGACGGTCTTGTGGTATCAGTGCCTTGTCTGTGATGTGTGTCTTTCAGTTGCTGGGAACATGCTAAGCTGTGCCTAAGTGGTCTATTGTGGCTGCTCAGTGAAAGCCCCCCTCAGATTCCAGAGCAGGGTTTATTGGTGTAGCTCAAGATACAGACATAAGCAACAGAGTCTTATCTGTCTAGGGGTCTCCCTCTTACAGAATATGTTGGAGTTTACATAGTCCAACATCCCCAGTCTATAGCAGGGAACCTGATACCCACATGGATTTACTAAATGTCCACGTTTATTTGGTGACTTTTAGCCAAGCCCAGTCTTTTTACCCCCAAGTCAAATCAAGATACCCCAGACACCTTCATGGATACTGGGATACTGTGGGAAAGAAATCACCTCTGCCCTCTGTTTAAGATTGACCAAATATATAAATATAAATTATTCTAGTTTAAGCTCTACTGCTAAGGTGCTTGTTAAGCCCTAGGTTATGAGAACAAGATTGCTTCTGTATACGTGCTGCTTACAACCAGGTAACTCCTGGCACTGTGCAATATTCCAGCTTTTTAGAGCACTTAAAGGTTTGCTCTTGATTAAGATTTCAAATTGAGTCTTTTGACTCCAAGATGTTTACTTTCTATATAATTTGATGTTGTGAAAATGGAGAAGGACCTAGGATGGGCCTTTGAACGCATAGGTTTTGTATCAGTATAGTGATACTCAGTAAAGAGTAGGCTTCGAGGAAGTTCAGGTATGTTCAGATGTTTTTCATTGACTGTAAAATTAGTATATAGAATTAATTAGTTGGCCAAGTAAGTACCTAGTTAAAGATTAAAAAGATATAAAAGAGCATGTAGGAGAAAGTCCCATAGTCACTTCCCCCCTGGAGGCCTACAGTTTCTTTCCTACCTCTTTGTTCCATAAATGGTAGCATTCTGTAATACTTCTCAACGCTGTACTTGTACCTTGCTTTTTTTCCCCTCCTAATTATCTTGGAGATTGCTTAATGTCCGGACATGAAGAGCTTCTTTCTTTTTTATGGCCAAATAGAATTTCATTGTACAGATATACTGTACAATGCTAATTATATTTTAGGAAGTCTCCCAGGCCTTGTTGAACTCTTTTCCTCTTTTATAAAAAGGAGTTAACCTCTGCTTCTCATAGTCATGAAGTTTAAGAGAAATAGCATCTTTTTCCCCCGCCTTGATCCTCTTTAGGGAAATAGCATCCTGAGTAGCAGAGTTTGGACTCATGAGAGGCACAAAATGAACATTAGTTTCTTTCTTTGTGGGTTGGACTTAAGTCTGATTAGACACATGAAGAAATCATGTGTTCCAGATGGTAATTTATTTGTAAAGTACCTTTCTCATAATGGCTTAATGAAGGGTCTTGGTGCCCCATGAGGCAGGAATGGAGGCAGATACAACCAAAGCAACAGTCTCCCAGTCCCATGAGCCTTTTAGAGAAGCAGATGGCGAGGGAGAGGGATGCCCTCCCCCCGCCGCCCAAACACGTACATACACACCTGATTATTGTCTTCACTGCAGCCTTGGGGAGCAGTACTACAAAGATGCCATGGAGCAATGCCACAATTACAATGCCCGCCTCTGTGCTGAGCGCAGCGTGCGCCTGCCTTTCTTGGACTCACAGACCGGAGTAGCCCAGAGCAACTGTTATATCTGGATGGAAAAACGACACCGGGGTCCAGGTGAGAGTCCAGGGAAGGGTCTAGGCTCAGGAACACAGAAAGAGGAAGCTTCCACATTTTAGGGGTGAGCCAGCTGAGCGTTTTCCCTGCTGTTTCCCATCCAGGGAGGAAGAAGGCAGACAGGTTTATACCAGCATCTTGGTTTTCTGCAGGATTGAGGCTGTTATGGGGATTCTGCAGAACTATGTGTTAGTCAAGGCCCTGAGTTTACATCTATTTTTCTTTTCCATAAACTGTCCCACCCATCTCCTCCCCTTCCCCCAGCACGGCTGATATGCCTCCCTTGCTCTAGAACTCAGGTGGGGCTTACTCACCTAGAGAGCATTTGATATTTTCTAGGACTGGGTTAGGGCTTGACTTCTCTCTCCCTCCCTATCTTCCACAGGATTGGCCTCTGGGCAGCTGTACTCGTACCCTGCCCGGCGCTGGCGGAAAAAGCGGCGAGCCCACCCTCCTGAGGACCCAAGACTTTCTTTCCCGTCTATTAAACCAGGTAAAGCACACTCCTTCCTGAGCAGGGGCATGGCCTGTTGCATGATAAAAGGCCTGCTAACCTCCTGTTGTATACCAAGCCTAAGACTAGATTATGAAGATGCTAGAGTGACTAAGATGTGATTTCTTTCTTTAAAGAACTCAGTCTAATAGAAGAGACAGATAAACAGATAATTTATGGTGCCAAGTGAATTAGGGTGTCTTGATTCTTGAGTAGCCAGAGACCAGAAGACAGTGACTGGCCTGTGGCTGACCTACCATTCTGTAGACCCAGAGCCGGCTGCCTTCAGCCCTTTTGAGCCTTGCCTCATCCTGACCTTGCCTGCAGACACAGACCAGACCCTGAAGAAGGAGGGGCTGATCTCTCAGGATGGCAGTAGTTTAGAGGCTCTGTTGCGCACCGACCCCCTGGAGAAGCGAGGCGCCCCAGATCCCCGAGTTGATGATGACAGCCTGGGCGAGTTTCCTGTGACCAACAGTCGAGCACGGAAGGTACAAGATTAATACTCTGGCCAAGGGAACTTTGATGGACACCAGCCTCCTCCTCATCAGAGGCCACCCAGTAATGAAAATGGAAGCAAGCTATGGGCCAGGAGGCAGGCCCCAGGAGTTCTGCCGTTTCATTCCCTAATTAGCGCTGGGTACTGACTGGCTGCACTGTTGCCGTTCAGTCTTTCCATCTGGTCTTTCCCTCCTCTTTTCTTCTAAGTACGGACTCTCCCTCATTCATCTTTTGTCACAAAAGTTCTTTGATGTCTAGGGTTACATAGATGAAATAGATGCGGTCCCTGTCAACAGGCACATAAAACCATCCGAGCTAAAAATACTCCAGACACAGTACTATAGGCTCTTCCCTCATTTTCTCCAGTCTGTACAACCTTATGAAATCAGTACTGTGGTCCCTGTTTCACATACACAGAGGCTGAAACAGTTAACAAAAATGTCCCAGAAGGCCACACAATTAAACAGCAAAGCTCTAAACCTAGGACATGAGGCGCTGGAAGGGAACCACCACTAAATGTGCTCCTGGGGCAGCAGATCAGAGGCAGGATGGGCGTGGCTACATGGGGTATCAGGAAAAGCTGTATGGAAACATGGTGTTTGATTCAGCCACTTGGAGATGGTGGGAAAGGCCTCCCAGGCTAGGGGAACCACATGCAGAGTGGCACAGAGAAGGAAGAGCCCGCAACATTGACGGGAGAAGGACAGGATTATAGACTTGAAGGGCAGCAGTGATGAGGCTGGAGTGGAAGGCCAGGCCACAAAGGAGGTTCTCGGTGGCCGTGCTGCTGCCACTCTGGGGAGCTTTTGGATGAACATTATTCCTGCCCATCCTAATCATCCTATCCACTCAGCGGATCCTAGAACCGGATGACTTCCTGGATGACCTCGATGATGAGGACTATGAAGAAGACACTCCCAAGCGTCGGGGCAAAGGGAAATCCAAGGTGAGGGTCCAAGGGGCTGCTTACAGCCTGGGACAGGGGAGCCTGTGGATTCGAGTGAGATTAGTAGCCACTTTCAGGAGAACTTAACTCCTTAGGCCCAGACACCTTACTTAGTAAGAGCATATTTTGCCTTTTTTGGACAGGGTAAAGGTGTGGGCAGTGCCCGGAAGAAGCTGGACGCTTCCATCCTGGAGGACCGGGACAAACCCTATGCCTGTGACAGTGAGTGCCTCCCAAGTGGGTGGGTAGTCCTTGCCTTGGACCCAGCTCCTGCTCAGGAGGTGAAAGGAGGGAGGGCTGTGCTCTTGCTCGGAGTGGTAAAAAAAGCCTGGAGTCTTGCCCTGCCTGCCCACTGGTTCCCTCTGAGACCACTGGGAAACCCTGGCCTCTGCTGACTGATGGGTGGGACCTGCATGCTCTGGGAGAGAATTCTGCTGTTCCCTGGGGTGGGGTGCTGGTGAGGGGCACCCACAGCAGGCAGAATCAGCCTCTTGATAGATGGCATCCAGGTCTGCTGGCCCCAGTCAAGCCAGGGCCCCAGGAGTCCAACAGCAAATTTTTCAATGTCTCTTTCTCCCACTTTTCTCTGACTCCCCACTTCTGTCCCTCCACCCTGGGAGCACCATCGCCGCTGGGGTTTCTCTCTCGTTTGCTCCGCTTTCCTGCTGCTGCTGCTCCTGTCTCAAGTATATCAAGACCTTCTTCTCATGACTTTTCTTTCTGTCTTTCAGATAGTTTCAAACAAAAGCATACCTCGAAAGCGCCCCAGAGAGGTAGCTCTCTCAACTTTTCAGACTTTTGTTTTTCCTGTCCCTTTTTCCCTCCTCCCTTGTTCCTCCTGCCTTTCTCATCTCCTGTGATGCTAGTTGAAAAGTCTCTGGAATGGCTTGGGGATAGGAGCAGTGGGCCTTCTGTTGTGCTCCGCTCCTCACAGTCCTGGAAGCTGCCTTCACCACTGCTTGTCTCCCACAGACTTGCTCCTCGGGCTGCTTGGGCCCGCTGCATGGGGTGGCTTCAAAAGCGTTATAAGAAACCCATTACAAACAGATCCCTCTGCTCCCGCTTCCCCAAAACAGCCACTTGGTGTCAGCTAATATTCCCTACTATCCTGCCGCCTCCTCCTCCCGTCCTCTTCCCATTCCTTTCCTGCTGGCTCCCTTACTCTTCTTGGTATCACTGCTCAAAAGTAAACGATGCCTTGTGGGGATCCGCTTTCCTTGCTGGTTGGTGGGGTTGGGCAGGGCACTGATTGGTTGGGAGTGTCCTTGAATTTCTTTGGGGGCCAACTGCCCTGCAGACTTAGTTGATAGGCCCTCCCCAAGAGACCCAGGCCCTATCCTTTACCCACTTTGGGCAGAGATGTGCTCTATGGTATATATAGTGTAGCATGAGCCTTCCACATTTACTGAGGCGGGGGTGGGGAAGGGAAAAGTTTGGATTATCTTCCTTACCTCTCCTCCTTCCTGCCAAATTGCAAGACCATAGAAATTCCCTTTTCTTCCTGACCTGATCCTCCCAAGACTCTTCCCTGGGCAAGTGTTGATGGGGCCAGGACTCAGCCCCATAGACAGCCAGTGTGGAAGAGTAGAAGTGGCCTGGGGTGTAGTAGGGAGAAGAGCCCAGGGCCTGATGCTCCTGGCCAAGGAGAGGTAGCCATCACTAAAAGCCTATCCCAGAACAGAGCTGGTCGGGTGGGGGCGGTTGCCGTTGTCTCTGCCTCAGGTGGAGCTCTACAGCTGAGAGGGACGGGGATGTGGCGCTCTCAGGTCCTAACACCTCCCTCTGAATCTTCTCCTCACTCAGTTTGTGGAAAACGTTACAAGAACCGACCAGGCCTCAGCTATCACTATGCCCACTCCCACTTGGCTGAGGAGGAGGGCGAAGACAAGGAAGACTCGCAGCCACCCACCCCGGTTTCCCAGAGGTCCGAGGAGCAGAAATGTAAGCTGAGGTGTCAGAACTGGGGCAAGCAGGAATCGGCTTGGTTATGAAAAACCCCCTCGTCTGGGGTGTTGAGAGGCCTCAGGGTCCCCATGAGTATCATCAAAGTTTTTTCTTTCTCTGCGTAGCCAAGAAGGGTCCCGATGGATTGGCACTGCCCAACAATTACTGCGACTTCTGTCTGGGGGACTCAAAGATCAACAAGAAGACAGGACAACCCGAGGAGCTGGTGTCATGTTCTGACTGTGGTCGCTCAGGTACTTCCAACCCTGGGGCAAGGGCTGCCACAGTCAGCATCCAGTCCGCAAGAGGTTCTTGGCTTGCCATCATCCAGTGGCTGTCACAGTCAACCAGGTCACCTTGCTTCTCCCCCATTTCCGGCTGCCTGTTTCACTCGCGCCCCCCCCCCCCCCCACAGGGCATCCATCTTGCCTGCAGTTCACCCCTGTGATGATGGCAGCAGTGAAGACCTACCGCTGGCAGTGCATCGAGTGCAAGTGCTGCAACATCTGCGGCACCTCCGAGAATGACGTGCGTGTCCCTGCCCCTCCCAGCACACTCCTCAGCTTTTACTGTTTTTTCCACAGTTCCCTCTAAAGTGAGCTTTCTTTTAAAAGTGAGCAAGATCCTCTCATGCATGCCCGTCCCCAGCATCCCAGGTGGGACTTCATTTGGCAGGTGTTTGTTGAACATCTACTTGTGTGTCAGACACTGCCCTAGGCACTGAGGACACCAGTACAAGACAGACGAGGTCCTTGCCTTCATGGAATTTACAGCTTTGTGGACATAAGCAATAAGCAAGGAAATGACATTTTTATGCTGTGCCATGAAGAAAATGAAACCAGTAGTGTGGCAGAGGGTAACTGGCTGTTCTGGATAATCGGAGATGGCTTTTCTGAGGAGGAGATGGTGGTGTTGAGGTTTGGATGATACAAAGCTGCTAATCCAAGAAGATTGGGAGGTGGAGCATGCCCAGGGAAGGAGCGGCAAGTGCAGAGACCTGAGGTGGACAAGCCAGGTGTATCGAGGCCTGTGTGGCTGGGTGGAACCTTCTTGCATTGGGACAGTTGGGTAGAACTTTTGCTACTCTGTGGAGAATAGATTGTAGAAAGCACTGTGGAGACTGGGATCAGTCAGGCAGCTGGTGGCGTAGAGATGGGCAGCAGTGGTTTTCTATCCAGAGACGCCCATGTCTGTTCTTAACTGCCACCTGTCTCGTTCTTGTTGGAAGTAGGAGCATTGTGTACAGAAGCTCTCCTTCCTACTGGTGGGCCTGTTAGTTATTCACCTCCCCCCAGCCTCTTCTATCTTGCCTTCTCTAGGACCAGCTGCTATTCTGTGATGACTGCGATCGTGGCTACCACATGTACTGTCTTACCCCGTCCATGTCTGAGCCTCCTGAAGGTAGGTTGCCTGGGTCACTTACTCAGAACAATTATTAGTAACTTGGACCATCACCCCTACAATAAAGGAGTTCTCTTATCAGTGATCTGTCCTTCCAAATAGGGAGTTGGCACTTCGCCTTCTCTCATTTTAGAATGCCTTCTAGGATTTCAGCTTCAAGGGTCTGATGTTTGTACATTATCACCAGATAAATTTGCAAACACAGAATATCGACAGCCCTAGCGAAAGCAGATACTGAGCAGAGAACAGTCATCAGAAGGAGTGATTTGTTTTCCTTCAGTCAGTCCAGGAAACTCACATCGTAGCTTGTCTGAAGTGATTCTTTGATTATCAGCTCTTTGAACTTGACAAATCTGAGTGTTCATTTCAGCCCAGTCTGGAAAGAAGTTGAACCTGAAGCTGAATAGTTTGCTTAATAATGCTCCATGGTTATGGAAACTTGAAGAAACCATTGGTGGCACCAGAAAGTGGCTACTTCTCTACAAGCCCCCTTCCAGCCAAATTTCTGGGCTGAACTCTTCCTTTATAGAAATATGGAAACTTATGAGGATGTTATTATCTCAGTAGCTGTTACTGTGCACAAAGGATGTAGGCCAGCATTCCAGGCAAGAGAAAGGGGCTCACTGTGTGATGTAAGCTCACTTGTAATACAGGTCAAACTGCCATCACCACCCACTCCCCGCGAGAAGCAATCCACTAACAAAGTCACAGTCCATTAGCAGCTGGAGGGGAGCACTCAGCTCTTACTACCTTTCATGCTGAGTTTAGAAATCTACTTTGGGGAGAAGTATTGAGTTCTGCGGGGGGGGGGGGTAACCATAAAAATACCAATTTACAGATAAAATTCTATGTTAACTGTAGAAGGGCTTTCATTTTGAAGTACTGTCAGATGCTGAAGTAGTGGAGGCAGCTGGAGGGGACCCCCTAGAAGCCGTCAGGCGGCATAGGCTCTAGGTTAGAGTTTGGCAAACTATACCTCACAGCCAAACCCAGGTTTGGCTAGTTTATGTAACTCTTAAGAATGATTTTCACATAAAAAAATTTTTTTTTGCTTTGTCCCTTTTCATCTAACTTTTTTCTTAATCCTCACCAGAGGACATGCTTACTGATTTCAGAGAGAAGGGAAGAGAGGGGGAGAGAAACATCTATGTGAGAGAGAAATATATTGATTGGTTGCCTCTAGCCCATGTCCCAAACTGAGGATCGAAACTGCAACCCAGGCTTGTGCCCTGACCAGGAATCGAATCTGTGACCTTTCAGCATTTGGGACGACACTCCAGCCAACTGAGCCACACTGGCCAGGGCTGTTTTCACATTTTTTAAAGGGAGTTTAAAAAAAAAAAAAAAAAAGGTAACCAAGACTATATAAGGCTCACAGAGCCTAAAATATTTACCACTGGCTATTTACAGAAAACCTTGTCAACTCTTTCCTGTGTGTTGACCTTTGGGGTAGAAAGGACCTTCATATTTTTGAGAGTTACTTATCTCTGAAGAGCTGATAAAAGCTGTGGATTCTTTCCCAGAATAATGTTTGAATACATATGCATACAATTATGCTTATAATTTCAAGACGTTAGGAGCTAATTTTGTTTCTTAAAAAAAAAAAAAATCCAACCGTAGTAAACATAAAGACAGTAATAAGCAGTTATTTCTCTTGTACGGGATGTTATTTTCTGTTTTTCTGTGAAACTAGACATGGGTCCTAACAATTTCCATCTTCATAGTTCACCCCCTTTTTCTCCGACTGGGTCCTCAGTCTTTGCTCAAATGCCTAATGGTGATGAGGAGCCCATCTGTCTTTCCATAGTTTTCACAGAAAGTTGTTTTATGTGGAATCAAAATTGGTTCTTCTAGAGACTCTATTCATGATTTTTATTCTAACCTTTGAGAACAAAGTCAGGTGCTTCTGTAATCACAAAGCTAAAGCTGGGTGCTTTAAAAATTTCTGTCTGCCCAAGCCCTCCTCCTAGACATTCTAATTTAATTAGGGCCAAGAGGATTTGGGAGTCTGTATTCGGAAATAGTCCTCCAAGTGATTATTTCTGTCATCTCCATTGAGAATTATTTTTCATATTGGAAGACCTAGAAGTTTCTCCCAGCTCGGGATATATGTGAAACTGCTACTGCAGACTGCCTCCCATCCTCCCTATATAGCCGATCCTGTTACTAGAGGTGATGTGTGGGGATTGGAAGGACAGCAGATTAGGATTGTGTGGGACCCATCCTAACGCCGTTATGCTTCCCTGCAGGAAGTTGGAGCTGCCACTTGTGTCTGGACCTGCTGAAGGAGAAAGCCTCCATCTACCAGAACCAGAACTCCTCTTGATGTGGCCACTCCCCCTGTCCCCACCCCCCACCCCCGTACATCTAGGGCTGTTTTCTCCTCTCTTGTTTTTCATGCCCACCTTTTCCTTCCTCCTGTCTCTCACAAGTCCAGAGAACTGGGGGTGGTTGTGCCGGCCTGCCTCGCCACAGCACGCTGAGGTGGCAGCTCTGACTGCCTCTGGCCCCAGGCCCTCAGGGAGAACGGAGCAGCGTACTGCCCCAAGGCGTACCTGGGGGCCCAGCTTCTCACGGCTCTCCATGAAGTGCATTCACTTGCCTGCCTTGGGCCCTGGCCCTGGCGATCACAGGGTTCAGACAGTGTCCACTGAGAAAGAGTAGGGGAGCAGTTCACTTCTCTCTGAGCTTTGCCTCCACTCTGGTCCCCAGGGTTTTCCCTTCCCCCAGAGGCAAGCCCGGCCAGGTCCTTTACTAGGAGTAGCTGGGAGTGAGCAACTGAGCAAACTGAGGATGCGCTTGCAAGGAGCTTTCCATGCCTTTCCTGCTGCTTAGCCTCACCACCTCCTTCCCCGATGGTGGTTCTCTGCAGCTCTTTGTTCCTGCTCTCCACGATCCTTTGCCTGAGCCAGGATGCTCTTCGTCACTCTCTGGGCACTGCCCTGTCCCACCCTGGGGGGAGTGGCAGCTTCATTCTGATTCCTCCTCGTGCTCACCTGGCTCTCACAGGCAGTCTGTAGTGACTGCAGCATTCCCCACCCTTGGAACTTCCTATCTTTTGCCTCCCGTCCTTACTCCCTTTGGTTTTGTGGGGAGAGGGAAAGCATCAGGGGGCCAGGCCAGCCGCTTGGGGGTCCCAGGGAGAAGTTGGACAATGTGCCTGTTTTTTAACTCGATGAAAAAGCCTACCTCCAAAGTCCCCTTTTTGTTCTTCCTAGACCTGGGTATTTAGCTCCTGCCCTTAACTGAATTGGGAGCCTCTGCCTCCTGCTCTGCGTATCCTGGCTCCTGGGTCATGGGGAAGCCACATAGACATCCCTTTCTTCCCTTGCACGCTCACTAGCAGCTGGTAAGGTCTTCACACCCTGATTCCTCAGTTTTCTGCCTGGTGACACTTTTAAGTAGTGGGAGGGACACTCCAATGCCAGGGCAACCTGGAGTGGCCTTCCTATTGGCCGTGGGCAGGCCCTAATTCACTGTCGCTTTGGAGTTGTGTCTTTTTTCTTTAGTTCCTGTTAATTCTAAACATTAGTACAAATAAACGTTTTTACACAGAGCCCTTTGCTGGGTGATTTATCTTCTGACTCCCTTTCCTGGTTATGAAGGCCACTTCATCCTAAAACTTCTTACACAGTGGTTTTCAAATGTAAAATACAGCTTTCTCTTCCAAATTGAAATTCTTGCTGAGCCTCAATCTGTAAAGCAGATTGTAACAGTTCCTTGTTATAAAGAACAGTGAAGTTTTAATTAATACAAAATTTAAAGTCAACTTCAGCATCTTTTTTTATTTCTGTATTTTGGTTGCTTTGGAGAAAATTCAGCTAAAAGTATCTAACAGTTGACCTTGGAATTCAAGATACTTAAAATGGGTCCAGAAGTTTACTCTGTAAATAATAAAGAGAATGACATAGGAAAACTAATACCATCACAATGGGACACATGAGTTCTTTGTATTGAATAATGAGCATGAGGAGCAGAGACACAACTGTGCTTGCCTGGTGTCTGAGAGCAGTGTGCGTGAACTCAGCCGGCAGTGCAAGACTGCAGCCTGCCTTTGGGCATGGTTATGTGCACAAAAATGAGTTTTCTTTCCCTGAGCCAACATTTAACAGCTTCCATAGTGCATCTTACATACCTCACGAGTGTTTTGAAGTTATTAAAAATTTTTAAATATTTGAAATCAGGTATGAACCCTCAAAATATCTTTATAGAGTTCTCTGGAACAGCCTTGAAAGCCACTGTTACGTAATGGAAGGCAGCATCCTGGGCCACTGCCTTCAGTAAGCAAGACTGCTCTGGGTTGGGAATTGTGTTAGGAAAAGAACGTGGCTGCTGTCATGCTTTCACACAGAAGTAGGCCAGGAGTAGAGGGAGTAAAGCGATGGTCCTTTGAGTAGTCTAAGGGTCAGAAAAGAAAAATGTAAAAGAGAATATAGCAAGCATAAGAGAGGAATATGGAAAGGGTTTGCAGGAGGTGAGATTTAGGATGGAACACAGAAGGCTGATGGGGGCAGGACTCAAGGGGAGAGGGAAGCCTATGGGAAAGGCAGAGAGAGGCGGGGACTCAGGTCTGCGGCCAGGCCTTCCAGTCAGAGCTGTGAGGGGATGAAAGAAGGGAGGCTGGAAAGCAGGTGAAGTTGGGAGCTGGGAGCCGTGGACCCCAGGCTAAGGTGTCTACGTGTAATTGCATAGAACACGTAGAACTGAAGTTTACTAAGGAAGGGAGTGATTACTGTATCTTGGGTTTAGAAATGAATCTTGCCAAAGGACACCAAAACTAACAGTAAACATAACCAGGTGGTAATTATAGAATAGGCTGTATAAATAACCTCATAGAAGATTCATGATTGAAACTTTCCTTGTAAGTATTTTATAGACATCAGCAGTTGCATCTCCTGCTTAACCAAGGAATGGCCCTGACCACAAAGAAATGTGCAAACGTCAGCGACTCATATCAGAACCAACAGAAATGCTGCCCGGACGTCCTGTCCCCAGATATCAGCAATGAAACTGCAAATGGAGCAAAGAAACTACATGATGACGCACACAGGAGATAACATTGAAACCACCCAAGAGTAGAGCTGAGAAACTGCACGTCGCCAGAAATTCCTTAGCTTCCCTATTCTTAACGGTTTTCCTACATAAACTAGCCAGGACACCTGAGATGCCGAGATGGGCTTTGAAACAAGAGTCCCTCATCTTCCAGGTTGCTGGCACCTAAAAACCGCTTTCCTTCACGTCAGCACCTGCCTCTCCGGATTGGCTTTCTAAGCAGCAGGCAGCCCAACCTTCATTCAGTTATAAAACTAGTAAAAATTAGCCCCTACTCGCCCTAAATCAGAACTGGCCCTAGTTTCTTCCTAGCCGGGTTGCGACGGGAGGCCAGCGCTGTCCATGGTAACGTCTTTTGTGTAGCATAACTGCTTGCTTCCATTTTCTCAAAACCGCTTCGTGAGGATCATTAGCCCTGTTTGGTAGATGAGGAAGCTGAGGCCGGGAAGGTCTTGGGACACCTGGTTTGCTCTCTGGACCCCACGCGGTCCCGAGGCTTGTCAGGCCCCTGCGGGCCAGGTCCCCAGCTGCTAGAGGCGCCGCGCGGACTCTGGCGGGGTCCGGGCTCTGACTCGGTTCCAAGAGCGCGCTGGAAGCCCCGCCCCCAGAGAGCTCGACGAACCGCCTCTTCCGCGATGTCCAATGAGACTTAGCTGGGGGCGGGACCGATCGCCGCTCAAGGCCAATCTGATTGGTCCTAGGCGGGGCCGGCGGGTGGGAGCAAGGCGGCAGCAAGGCGGTGTTCCCAGCCGGGAGAAAGCCCGGCGCGGGGGGCGCCCACCGGGTCCTGCTGTGCGCGCGTCCGGTGCCCGCCGTCAGCGCGGCCCCCCAGCCCGCTCCGCCCTCCGGGTCGAGGCACTCGTCTCTCCCGTACTCTCCCGTCGCCGCCGGGACTGGGACTCAGGAGACGGGCCAAGGCAGGGCGGGAGCTGCGGGACGAGCGCCTGAGGTGGGTGCGGAGCGGGAGGCCGGAAGGCGGGGAGGCCAGGCGGGGAGCCCCGGCGGGGAGCTCCCGGGTCCTCCCCAAGGACGGGCCCCGCGTCTAGGTGGGCAGAGGTCCGTCAGGTTGCGGAGATCGGTTCCCGGCCCGCCTGGGTCTCGGGCGCTCTTGCTTGTGCCGTGATACCCGTCCCAGGCCACCACCTTACCTGCTAGAGACAGCCCGCCCTTCGCGCTACCCGTGGTCTCCTCACCCTTCTTGTCCTCAGTCGCTTGTGCACCTGCCTTCTAGGCCCTGTGCTCCCATTTACTCTCCAGACCTGACATGCCCCCATTCCCCGCCTCTCACCTTACCTTCTGGGGACTCAGCACCAAATGAGATCTCCTTCAGCCCCATCCATGCTTCTTTGTCGTCTGTACACCTGTCACCTCAACTCTGTTCATCCACAACACCACCCGTCTTCTAAGATCTTCATCTAAATCCAGCCCAGGTCGTCATCCCCCTCCCCCTCCCCCAGCCCTGATTATCCCTACACCAGGGCCACTCAGCCCCAGCCTCATGTCCCCCCCAGTCCAAACTCTTTTGCTATCTCTGCAGCTGTCCCATCCACACTATTCATACTTCTGCCCCAATTATGCCAACCCCCTGACCAGACTCCCCTCTCCTCTGACCAGTGAGCCGCCTTCTCCCCAGCTCTGCCCTGGCATCCCTGGTCAGTGCTCAGCCCACTGCTCACTCAGCCGAGCCGCCTCCCTTCCTCTTTCAGCCCAGCCCTCACACGTCCTACCCCGTGTCCCCTCTCACCCTTTCCCAGGCGATCCAGTTCCCCGTGGTCTCTACCACATACCAGCCGATTTCCCTTTCCTTTCAGATTCTCCTTTCCTTACGGTGCTCCTCTCCTGTGCTGCCTGACCTCAGCGGTCAGAACCCCTCTCACTGTTTTCTCCTGCACAGGTGCCCTGGAGAAGCCATGGAGCTGAGCAGCAAGAAGAAGCTTCATGCTCTATCCCTGGCCGAGAAGATCCAGGTGCTGGAACTCCTGGATGAGTCCAAGATGTCCCAGTCGGAGGTGGCCCGGCGCTTCCAGGTCTCCCAGCCACAGATCTCACGCATCTGCAAGAATAAGGAGAAGCTGCTGGCGGACTGGTGCAGTGGCACAGCCAACCGGGAGCGCAAACGCAAGCGCGAGTCCAAGTACAGCGGCATCGACGAGGCTCTGCTCTGCTGGTACCACATTGCTCGGGCCAAGGCCTGGGACGTGACGGGGCCTATGCTGCTCCACAAAGCCAAGGAGCTGGCCGACATCTTGGGCCAGGATTTTGTGCCTAGCATTGGCTGGCTGGTCCGTTGGAAACGCCGAAACAATGTGGGTTTTGGTGCCCGCCATGTACTAGCACCTCCGTTCCCCCCTGAGCCACCTCCCCCAGGCCTCACATCCCAGCTGCCTCTTTCTCTTAAAGACTTCTCTGCAGAGGACGTTTTTGGCTGTGCTGAAGTGCCCTTGCTGTATCGAGCAGTGCCTGGCAGACTAGGTGCTGGTGATCAAGTGCAAGTGCTGCTGTGTGCCAACAGCAGGGGCACAGAGAAGCGACGGGTGCTGGTCAGTGGTCTCCAGGCTGCACCAAGGTGCTTCTTTGGGGTCAGCAGTGAGGCCCTGCCTGCCTCCTACCACCCTGACGTGGGCATCCCCTGGTCAGAGTGGCTGGCACAGTTTGACCGGGACATGGGGAGGCAGGGCCGACAGGTAGCCTTGCTGCTGGCTGCCCAGGTGGTGGAGGAGTTGGCAGTCCTGCCTGGGCTCTGCCACGTGAGGCTCCTGCCTCTTCCTACCGCTGGCACCACACCTTCTCTACCCAGCTCTGTGGTCCGGGCCTTTAAGGCCCATTACCGGCACCGTCTGCTGGGCAAGCTGGCGGCTGCCCAGAGCAAGAGGGCTGGCACGTCGCTGGCTGAGGCTGGGGCCGGCATCACGGTGCTGGACACTCTGCACATGGCGGCGGCAGCCTGGGCCAAGGTTCCTCCCCAGTTCATTGTAAGCAGCTTCCTTCAGGAAGGGCTAGCTCCCTGCAAAATGCCCCTGTGCTCGGACAAAGCCTCTGAGATGCCACCAGTGCCCAGTGGGCTGAGCCTCGAGGAGTTTTCCCGCTTTGTGGACCTGGAGGGCGAGGAGCCCGTGTCTGGAGTGTGCAAAGAGGAGATGGGTGCTGAAGACGGGGAGGGGGCTGGGGGGGATGGCTTCGAGCCCCTGCCCACCAAAGCCGACGCCCTCCGGGCCCTGGGCACCCTGAGGAGGTGGTTCGAGTGCAACAGCACCTCCCCTGAGCTATTTGAGAAGTTCTACGCCTGTGAGGAGGAGGTTGAGCGGCTCTGCTGCCTGTGAAGGGCCCTGCTCCTCGCCAGAGCCCCCTCGCATCCTGTTTCCCGTGGAAACGCCCTCTCACAGAAGGCGGGTGGGAGGCCGGTCTCTTTCAGGTTGAAATGGGGCTTTTGTGAAAGGTGTAGAAGGGAGACAAGTTGGGAGACGAAGCCTAAACTCTGAGCGAAAGTCACCCGAGCCCAGAGAAGAGACATCCAAAGGCGTCCCCTGGGTGAGCGAGGCCAGGCTGGGCAGTTTCTGAGCCTCAAGGGAGGCTGGGACTTGGGCAGGTGAAATTCGGGCATTACAGACAGGCCGATGATTTGAACTCTGTCAAAAACGGTTCTGCTTCTGAAAATAAAGTTTTTAATCAGAAAAGAGGCCAGGGTGTAATTTTCAGGGGAAAAGGGTAGAAACTTTCAACTCAGATTTTTAACTTGATTGCTGAGGGTTGCCACCACACAGCCATCTGGAGCTGTCTGCAGGTGACCATAGGGACTGCCTTCTTCCAGGATGCCAGCAGGAAGGACTCCCAGGGTCTGGGGACTCCTTGTCAGCGCCCAGACGGGTCCCAGGGACTGCCCTGGAATGCTGCTGCTCTGCTAACTGCACTCTCAGATTGCGGGAGGAGAGGAGTTGTCAGTAGGAGGGGCAGGCTAGGGACACACTAGGGAAACGGAAAAGAGCCAGAACTTGGAATAGTCACTGGTTCTTTTCGTTGGTTGGTTGTTTTTTTCTGTCATTCACTTGATCATTCCACAATATCTCTCCAGCAAGGCTTGTGTGACAAGATTGTAAAGATGATGTCCCTGCTGGGCAGGACCTTCCAGACAATGACAATGGACTGTGATTATGTGCAAAGTGCTAAGGCCCTATAGAGCCTGGAAGACTTCCTGGAGGAGGTGAGTTTTGAGCTGCAGCTTGAAGGACAGACAGGAGTGGGAAGCATAGTTCCGGCCAAGGGGCGGCAGGTGCCAAGTCAGGCATTCTCGCCAGAGCCACGAGAAGGCCCCAGGAGCAGGAGGAGCTATTAGCCCACCGAGCTTGGTGGTGCGGCACCCCAAAAGGTTTCAGCTAGAGAATGACAGGCCATTTGTGGGGTTCAAGAAAACTGAGATGTGGAGGCAGGTCAAAGATGTGAGACCGAGAGACAGAGAGACTCCGACTGGTTCAGAGATGGTGAAGCCTGAGCCAGATCGTGGGAGTGGGGTGGGTAGAGGATGGTTTTTCCTGGGAAGGAGGTGGGCTTTGGACACAGACAGACTCTGACTGGTGAGAAGCCCAGCTCCAGGCCAAACTCCTACGTGTTCAGGCTGACCACAAGCAGCCACTTAGCCCAAGCGTGCAGTTTCGTGGAGGGCGTAGCTGTCAAGGACTCAGGCCACCCACAGCAGCCCCGCTGCTGCCTGCATTCAGAGCCCAGGCACCTCCTTCCAGGGGCCACCGCATAGCACTTGCTATGTGCCCCACTGAGCCGCCCTCTCCACTTTGTCGCAGGACCTTGTATCCCTGGCTCTCCTCTCTCTCCCTTCCCTGGTCCACCACGCTTAAAGAGGCAGGAGCCTTTTATTCAGGGGTTCCTGACAGTGGGACAATCCCCAGTTGGCCCCCCATGTCATGTGACCCTCGCCGGTGCTGTTCCACTGGGGAAAGTGGGACCCTGGGGAGGCAGTGACTTTCTGCCTCTGGCTTGCACGGTCACAGTAAGCAAAAAAGGGCTGCCTGACTTGTCCTAACTGACCACCTCAACACCCAGCAGCTGGACAATGAGGATGGTCCCCTTTTAAACAGCTCTGAAGCTGCTGGCCGGCCTGCCTTTTCTAGCCTGAGATCCCAAATGATTTAGCCTTTCTTCACAGATTCTATTTTTCCTAATTTATAGTCTCTTAAATTGCCCTTTTTCTGAACTCATCCTGGTTCTGACATATCTTTTTAAACGTTGAAACCAAAATTATACAATCTTTGAAGTCCTGAGCAAAATAACAGAGAGAGGACAGATGAGCTCTCTGTCCTCGGCTGTCATATTCCTGTTAGAGCAGAATCCTGTTTTAGTGCTGACTTCTTCCCAGAGCTCCCCCCACCCCGCCCATCCCTGCCCCTCCCCAGGAAATCTCTCCCCTTCTTGCATTGTTATCACGTATCACACTCTGCCTATCCGCAGGCGACTTAGGTGGCTCATTCAAGCAGTGCTTACTGAATGTCTGGCTTGAGGGGCAGGCCCAGTTCTAGGACCCTAAGCTAGTGCTGAACGAGGCAGAGGATCCCTTACCTTCCAGGAGCGGCAGATGAAGATGCACAGGTACACAAATAACCACAGTAATTTTAGATACCGATTAGTGCTGGGTGAAAATAAAATAATGTTGCCATGGGGAGCAACTGTGACGGGAGTCAGGGAAACGACGTTTGGGCTAAGTCGTGAAAGTTTAGAAGGAAACACTCATTCTTCCAAAGGAAGAGTGGCCTCTGCCAAGGAAACAGTAGGTGCAAATATCTAAGATCAGAAAGAACAGAATTAAGAAACGGAAAGACATCCCGGCACCTGAAAGAGAGGGACAAGGAGAGGAGCGGGGCAGAGAGGAAGGCCGGGCCTTTGAGCTGACAGGACTTCAATTTCATTCTAAGTGAGACAGGAAGTTATCTTGGGCGTGGTGGCAGATTTAGACAAAGGAGGAAGAAGATATGTTTTATGTTTTAAAAAGTCCGATTTTGGTTGCTGTGTGAAAAACATGGGGAGGTGGGGAGCAAAAGTGGGAACCAGGAAACGAAGTCAGGAAGCTACTGAGTTGGTGGGACTTCCTCGTGGGCAGGGCATCAGGTGTGATGGGGCGAGGGAATAGAAGAGGCCTCCTCCCAACAGGTGGCTTCTCTTTTTAAAATCAAGGTCAGGCAGTCCTATCCAGTCTTGCAGGTACTGCCACATGCAAAGTAAGAGGTGGCCCCCAAAAATGTATGTACATTAGTTCAGTTTCTTTACAAGCCTGTAATGAACACCCTCTATGTTCAGGAGGCACACAAGGCTCCAGGGCAGCACAAGTGAATAAGATGCCGTCCCTGTTTCCAGGTACTTATGACCCAGAGGGAGAAATAGCAAGTGACTGACAATATAGGTCCGTCATGAGGATTAACCAACTTAATGTTCAGAGAGTGCTTTCCGCTGGCCAGGCGCTATTTTAAGCACTACGCATACGGCAGAGAGAGTCCTCATCCTCGGTCTTGAGAAGATGGGGACTGAGTGAGAGAGCCCACAGGCAGAAAGATGGGTCCCGTCTGCTTTCACCTCTGCACTCCCCTCTCAGGAATTTCTTCTCATCTACCTTCCATTTCTCTTCAGCTGTGACTATTTTTTTGTTTTTTTCCAAATACATATAATAATTTTTATACTGTCTTGTTTCTTCTCTTTTAATTCCTTTATATATTTAAATATTTTTGTATGGTTATTTTACATTCTGTATCTGGTAAACGTAATATCTGAAATGCTTGGGGGTGCAAAATCTGTTGCTTTTGTTTCTACTGATGCTTTAGTTTATGGTGGCGATTTTCCAGGTAGGTCTGGTAACTTTTGTTGTGCGAATTTTTAATTGGTTGCTCTTAATTTCGAAAAACCTGTAGGTCTTGATTTAGGGTACTTCCTTAGAAAAATGTAGTTACTCCTACCAGACACGAGGGGGCGCTAACATCATGATAAATTAATTTCTGGAAGGAACGTGTCCCAGACGGGAAGGGTAGTATGGCGAATAGGCATATACGTGGTTGATAACTGGTTCCCAGGGAAGCCGATCTTATTCTTATTTTTTTTCCACCACAGGGGAAGAGGCAGATTTCTTTGTAGGTTCCCTACACTGATGGGTGGACGTTTCCTGTTCTGCGCTTTTACTAAAAATGTAGCCCCTTCCTGGATCCTGACAATGAGGCTTGGGTTCAGCTGGGACTCAAGATCTACCTAGTCCTCTCTTCCATGTGGTTCCTTAATCTTCAAGGTCATGGCGTTAGAATTTGCTCCAAAAGAAGCTTTGGAGACAACCTAGTTTATACTGGCCTTCTTGTTTTGAAGGGGTCCTTAGGACTATTTGCAAAGTTAGGTTCTTAAATTATGTCTGTTGTGTTGGATCTGGAGTCTAATTGCTTTATGAGAGGAGGGCTCTACAGAAAGTCTAGAGCGCCGGCCTGACAGAGGGGAAGTCAGGAAGACCAGTTTTCATTCATTCATTCATTCATTCATTCGCTTGTTCAAAACTTTATGGAGCACCTCTGTATGACAGCTAGAGCTTCACTGATGATGAGCAAAAAGAGTCAAGGTCTCTGCTTCATGGAGCCCATAGTTTAGAGGAGAGACGATTGTAATCAAAGAGCCACACAAATGAAAGTATATGCGTACAGACTGGAAAGCAGAGGACATGAAAGCACAAGCCAGTGGTTCTCAAACTGTGGCCCACAGCATCTGGGACCTTAATGAAACGCAAGTTCTCAGACCCTCCCCAAACCTACTGAATCAGAAACTCAGGTGGGACTAAGCAATGTGTAGTTTAACAAGCCTTCCAGGTGCATCTAAGCCAAAAGGAACAGAGCTAAAGAGAGGGGTTGTGGAAAGTTTCACTGAGGAAGTGAAATTGAACAGAGCTGAAGGATGAGCGGGAGGCACACAGGCAGGGAGACCAGCACGTGCACATGTCCTGGGGTAGGAAAGAAGCTCGCATGCTTAAGGAACCATGAGACATTGACTGTCCTGGGGCCTTGGAGCCTGTGGAAGGAGCTTGCTCTGATCCCTCAGAATAATGGGAAGCCATCGAGGGGGCCAGGAGGAGTACGGTGACTTGAGCAGAGCTGCATCTGAAAAAGTTTGTCCAAATGCAGGACAGGACCAGGGCTGCTAGTACAGGCACACCTCGCTTTATTGTGCTTCACTTCATTGTGCTTAGCAGATGTTGCTCTTTTTACAAATTGAAGGTAAGACCCTCTACCAGCAAAAAGACTAAAACTTGCTAAAGGCTCAGAGGATCATATTTTTTAGAAGAAGATACTTTTTAATTAAGTTATGTGCATTTTTTTAAGGCATAATGCTGTTATTGCACACAATAGACTACAATATCACATACACGTAACTTTTGTGCGCACTGGGAAACCAAAAAGCTCATATGACTCGCTTTGTTGTGATAGTGGCTGCATGCAGTGGTCTGGAACCAAGGCCACGATATCTCTGAGATGTGCCTGTGTCAGGACTGGGAAGAAGGGAGCAAGGCCTAGGAAACTTAGGAGCTGGTTAACAGCAATTGGAGACTCCTTTGAAGCAAGAGAAGGGGAGAGGGAAAGCCTCTTTGAGACATCTGGGCAGGTGCCATGGGGATGCGCAAGGCCCTGTGACCAGAGGTGGCAGTATAGACCTTGAGCTTGGGACAGTGGTCAGGCCGGAGACACCAATTAAGAATGACTTCTCTTAATGAAACTGAACTAAAACTAAACTCAGCTGTTTAGTGTGTCTGGTAATAGTGATCTACGCCAGAATCACCCCGAGATTGTCGTATCCCCTTTACCTGCACATGTAGCCTTAGTGTCACTAAACTCATAGGTTAGTCTCCTGTAATTTCTCCTACTGTGACCGCTGCTGTGAAAACAAGTACATATGTTGCTTGACAACACGAGTCCAATGAGACACCTTGGACGTGTTTGCCCAGGTTATGAGCCCTTTACACGTGACCCTCAGACACCAGCCCCGTTTTCAAGCTCAAAGCAGTTGATCGACTGTTTCCTAGTTCTTAGAGATTCCTTCTGTCTTAATGACTCTCTAGAATAGTGATGACCTCTAATAGCATCTGTTCATTGCTGAAGGAACTTAACGTAACATGCATATTATGAAAGGCTGCTGATGTAAAAAACATCTTGCTTTTAAAAATATCTTCAGCCCTGGCTGGTGATTGAGTGCCAGCCTGAAAACCAAAAAGTTGCAGGTTTGGTTCCCAGTCAGGGCACAGGTCTGGGTTGCAGGCCAGGTCCCCAGTAGCAGGACATGCAGGAGACAACCAATTAATGTATCTCTCACACATTGATGTCTCTCTCCATCTCTTCCTTCCTTCCCCTCTCTCTATAATAAATAAAATCTTTAAAAAATATATATCTTCAGCCATGCCCTGGCCAGGCGGGGCAGTTGGTTAGAGCGTGGTCCTAGATTGATGTTTCTCTCTTACATCGATGTTTCTCTTTCTCTCTCCCTTCCTCTCTCGCTAAAAAAAAAAAAAAAAAAAAAAATCAGTAAACATATCCACCATTTCCTGCCTGACTTTGTTTGTCTTTCCACCCTCCTTCCCAAGCTATTGAGCTGGGGCCTCCCGGGGCCTCCCAAAGAGCGACCTGGTTTCTCCCTGCTCACACCACGCTTAACCCTCCCCTCACTGCGGCCCTGCCCTGACGCCAGACTAGTGGGAGGGACCGCATGAGGCCCGTGCTCTCCGGTTCTGATGAGGGGCTCAGAGCAGGGGAGCTCCAGCCAGCCCCCTCCCGAGATGGTGTGGAGAGAACCAGGGACGGAAAACAGAAGCGCAGGCCCAGACGGTGCAGAGGCAGGCTGATGGGTGAAATCAATACGCCAACAAAATCAAAAAAGGATTTTCATATTTTATTCTCTTGCTAACCGGTCATAGGGTAAGAGATGGCAAACTTCAGAGAGCCACCCTGACCTCCTGTCCCTTCTTGGCCTGGGTTGTAAGAGCCACTTCCTCTTTCACATGCACGCTCTTGGCTCCCTTCCAGCCACAGACTGTTCTGAGGCGTTCCAATGACTGCCATGTCCAGCCCAAAATTTGTGCCACTGCAGGGGTGTTGGAGAGCCACCGTGGCCCATGGGCTGACCTGTGTCGAATGGGATCTCGGAAGAAACAGGCACAGAAAGGACAGTGACTGGCTCAGGCAGACCCTGTTTTTCTATCCCGGGAACAGGCCTCCTGCAGCTGTGCAGGAGCACAGGCCGCCAGCGCGGGGAGCTCAGGCCACTTCCCCGGGACTCACCACTTCCTTACTTGAAAGGGCAGCACATTCTGCTGTTAGGAGCAGCCTGAACACCATTTCATGCGTAACGGTCACGGGAGAGCTTTGGATCGTAGGACGCAGGTTCCTGGGCTGTAGCCTTGGATGTTCTGACTCGCTTGGTCCGGTGGGGTCTGGGCTTCATTCCTAACCAGCTGCAGGAGGTCCTGATGCCACAGCTCCACTGACTGGGCTGGGAGCACCTCGACCACAGAACTCCCAGACCCTCCCCTGCCCCGGGAGTTAGAATGAAGGCAAAACTGTTGCAGCAAAGAGATATCACAAAGCAGCAGTCACCCAGGTTCAGGGCCCGTGGGGCACCTCCTGCATCCTCAGCAGTCCTTGCCGGGTCACCATTTCAGCCAACAGAGAGGGAGATCCTTGAAAGCAAGTGACAGGCAATGTGCCCGCATCGCACATTCCTCCAGCAAGACCCCAGGCATGGCGCCCCACCAAGCTGCCGGGGAGGTTGACACACGCAGCCTGGCTCAGCAGCCACGTGCCCTGTGGCGACGATGCGACGACAGGAGAAGGGAGAATGACTCGGGGCACCGCCTGCAGTCTGCGGCCCACAAACCCGGGAGGGACAGACAGCTCGATGAGCGCAGGCCAGGGCTGAGGCTGGCGGGCCTACCCGGTGAATGTGAACAGAGGTGATTCGTGGGAGACCATGGCAGCCCCTAGGGAGAGCTGGGTAGCGGCCGAGCTCTGGGGTTGGGGGCTCAGAGGTACCCGGGCAAGTTGTGTGACGTGACAACTGTGTGACCTGGGAGGGGCTACGTACTGTCTGAGTGGAGGCTGCCTCCCCTGTCAAGGGCGATTAGAATGCTGTGACTGGTTTCACAGGGAGCGCCCAGGAATGGCAGGGATTCCAGGCACGCAGGTCACCAGCAGGTGACCCCAGGTTGAGCTCAGACCAGATAAGGATATTAGTGGGTACAAACTCTGCTCAGCTTTATTGCCAATTAAACGAACCCACTTAGCCAGTTTTTAATGCCCACTTTGCAACTGAGGTAAGTAAACTCGTGCCGTGCACAGGAGCGGGCCAGGCAGACGCCCCCGACATCTAGCACCCCTCCACGGGATGGCCCGGGCTAGGCTAACCTCTCAGTGAAGGGTTGGGGGAGCGGTGGGGAAGGGTCTGCACCAAGGAAGCAGGTGGGGTGGCTGGAGTCGGGAGAGAGGCCGGGAGTGCAACGCCACCTCATTCAACAGGCATTTACCGGGCTGCTTCGAGCACCAGGCTCTGAGCCGGGAAATGAGCAGATGTGCGACCACAGACCTCAAGGAGCTCGCAGTTTAATGGGGGAGCAGAGAAGTCAAGCAGCCACCATGACAAGGATGAGGACCACGATCCAGGTGAGCAGGGGATCAGGCTGGGGTAGGCGGAGGGGACAGTGCTCAGCCAGGGTCTGGGAGCGGGCCCAGCCCAGGGGATGGTGGGGGGACCCCTCAGTAAGGGCCAGGGGATGGAGCGTAGGCTAAGGCAGGAGCAGGCATGGCTTGTTCTCCACCAGCAGGAGAGCTCATGGGCAGGGGGATGCCTGGTCGGTGGGGAAGCGGGGGCGGGGGTGTTTGGGCTTTTCCCTGAGTGCGATGGGAGTCATTGAAGGATTCTGAAGCCCAGGAGATGTAAAGGCTGCTCTCAAGTCAGACAGGGAGAGGTGTGTGTGTGGGGCGGGGGCGGGGGAAGCGAAGGAGGATGCTGCCTCTGGAGCCCAGGGGATGGTGAGCACCCAGGCAGCGAGTAGAGGCTAGAGCTCTTACAGGCTAAAGTCACAGGACGGGGGCCGGAATGTCACCAGCACCACTGGTTAGGCGGTTTACAAAGGAATCGAGGCAAGCGCTACGGGGGGGGGGCTGGGGCCAGCCTTGGATTCTGGACAGAGCCCAGAGCCGGGGGCAGGGGGCCTGCCCCCTAGTGCTGTTCCCCCATCAGCATCTGCGTCTTCTGGGCTGGGAGGTGCCTTGACAAGGAAGGTTGAGCCTCTTGCATTCAAATCCCCACCTGGTGCTTCCAACCCGGCCTCCATCCTGGGCAGCTGGGTGCCGGTCAGTCCCACTGGGGAGCCAGCCGCTGGCAGTGCCTGGCCAGGCTCATCCCCACAAATGGAGAGTGTACTCGTAGCTGAGGAAGGTGACGGCGTTGACAGGAAAGGCGCGCGCACTGTTGATGGTCAGCCCCCGGAAGAAGACCCCCAGCCCTTCCTGCCGGGCGCTGGTGACCATGCAGTCCAGCATCCCCCGGTACGCCCTCTGCCTCAGCCCGTCCATCTGCATCCGGGACTTGATCACGTCCAGGGGGGTGGCTGCAACCCAGGAGGCAATGCCTGCAAAGCCCCCTGCCACCAGCACTGTGGTCGAGCCTGGGGCAGAGGGGGCCCAGGCCAGGGTCAGACCGAGGGACCTCCTCCCGCTGCTCGTGTCTCCCCCGCTCCCCGCCCCACTCCTCTCTGCCCCCCAACCCTCTCACACTGTTTGACTTACTGGGGTTCTGGCCCTCTGGCGTGGATTGGCGACAGAGCCATTCATAGGTGACAAAGTAGATCCCCAAGGTGGGGGTGTCCCTCAGCGTCAGAGCCCAGGCTCCCCGGAACAGCCCCCAGGGCCCCTCCTCCTGAAAGATGGAGGCCGCGCAGTGCACGGGCCCCCGGTACCGGGGTGGGCGGCTCCCAGGCTGTGCCCTCGGCTCTGTCTGGTTTTGTAGCCGAACTTTGACGAGGTCAAAAGGGGCCAAGCAGTAGGCCTGTGGGGAAGGAAGCGTGAAGGCCCTGCGTGGGGTCCAGGGCCGGGACAGCTCCTCCTAACAAGAGGAAGGCAAGTGGGCGGGGAGGGCAGCAACTTCCTGCAGGACCTCACGCCCCTGCTGCCAGCTCTTAGCTTTTCACACTCCACGCTGGGGACAGGCCAGGGCCCCCTCCTTGGCATCAGGCCCCTGACAGCGAGTGGCGTGGCCCCTCTCAGCTTCACAGAGCCTCCCTCCCCCAGCTCCTGCAGGACACCTCTCAGAGGCCCCTGAGGGGGACAAGCGCTGGGCCAGCCCTTCCTGCCTCTCACAAACCCCCAGCCGCTAGTGTCCCAACAGAATGTGGCGACAGGGGAGATCTGCAGGTCCCAGAACTCATCACCTGATTGAGGCAGACAGGACACAGGTCTGGGGTAGAAGTGGGATCGAGGGTGGGCACTGGGAGGACGTGGACGGAGGCTGGGGGAGGGGCTGAGGTATGGGTCAGGGAACCAACTAGGCCAGGATCTGCTCTTCAGGCGAGAACCGAGGTCATAAATGAGGTTAGCGTAGCATCTCGGGGCTCATGTGCTTTGTGCGTGTGGTTTGTTTTGTGGAAGGTGCAGGGACAGTCCCTCAGCCCCGGGTGTGGCTGGTGGCAGAGGAGCTGTCGGTTGGCTCTGGCAGTCACCGTTAGAGGGAGGCAGGCCACGTTTGCTGGCATTTCCCCCTGCAAGGAGGGCAGTGGACGGGGACCCTGCCTGCGAAGGGGGCCCTGACGTCGCCCTCTGCAGCCCACTGGTGGCGCCGAGCCAAGGGCTTCTCCAGGGGCTGCGCTCCTGAGCCCCAGGCCCCTGGGGGCTGAGGAATGGCGGGGCCACCATTAGGATGGCAGGAGGTGCTGGCTAGGGGCCCTCGCCTCCCCATCCCGTGCCCACGGGGGCGGAGGGGACAGCAGACGCTGCCGCACTGTTTGACAGGGTCAGCCTGAGCCAGCCGACAGCGACTGCTGCGCACGGAGGCAGTGGTCAGTTCCTGCCCTGTGCTAGCCAAAGAGTCGCTTCCCCCTCTCCCTCCCACCTCTGCTCTAAGATGGTGTTTGCTCCAAGACTGAAGTCATAGGCTTGACAGGAAACCTGGGCTCCAGTTGGTCCCTGGACCCAGTCCCCTCCCTGTCCCAACAGGCAGCACTGTTATCTGTTCTGCTTTCTAAAGAGCTGGAGGGGAGGCCGGAGGGGCTGGGCCTGGTGGGCCCCAGCCAGGCCGTCCAGCCTAGGGACCCCGCGCTCCTCCTTGTTCTGGGGGTGGGGGTAGCGGTGCCAGGGCTCGGGGCTTTCGCCCTGCACAGGAAGAGGCAAAAGAAAAAGCAGGACCTTTCGAGGTCTCATGAATTATTAATTTCCCTCAGTGAGCCAGCTGACTGTGTCCTTGTCCTTACTCTCTGCCCCGTGAAGTCTGTTGAGGGCATCAAGGCAGGTGTCAGCTAGAGGGTGACCTGAGGCGTCCGGCTGGGGTGTGGGGCAGGGCCTCTATGCTCAGGCCCCCGCTCCGTTCATCTGGGGCTCCCCTGGGTTCCTGGAAGCCCCTCTTCCCTCCCCTGAAAGTCCAGGCATTTAAGTGCTGAAACAAAGACCAAGACCAACTGACAGAAGTTCCTTAATGATTAACGCTCTGGACTTGGCAGAGGGGTCCTGGGCAGGCTTGCGGACTGCAGCCACCCGGGCGCTGTGGGCAAAGGGGCTGAGCAGGGCAACGGCTCGGGCAGGGCCAGGGCCACCTCGAGCCCCGGCTCAGAGCTCAGTGGGGGCTGTCAGCTGTCCGGGGTGAAAGGTCGCCTTGGAGAGGCCTTCCCACAGCCCTGGGGTTGGCACGCCCTCCAGAGGTGGGCCAGCCCTGACCACCACAGGGTGGGGCATCGGCTGCTTCTCCATGGCGTCCTCTTGGCACCGCCTCCCCCAGCCCACTGCTCACACTGAGCTCTCTCTGCCTTCTGCCCCCTCTGTTCTTTGGGACCTTTCCCCTCCAGGCCTGCAGCGCGAAGGCCACCCGCAGCCAGGCCAGGTCGTTGGGCTCAGCAGGGGCCGCCCATTTCCCCACAGCGCCTCACATGCCAACAGGGAAGGTCATGGCCGGCAGCCGTGGGTCACCAGATGGGACTGGGAGGAGAAGGAACGAACTGACCATCACTGTGTCCCTGAGTGTGGACGCCCCGCCGCGCTCTGACCTGCAGGAAACCTCCGGTGCAGCCGGCTATGAACACGTGCGTATAGCTTGGAGGCTGGACCCGCCGCTCCTGGTGGGAGGTGGCTGTGAGCAGCAGCAGGGCATTGCTGTAGACCCCAAACAGGACCGAGTTGACCACAGCTATGCTGGCGATGGGGAAGCTCATCCCCTTGAAGAAGCCCAGGATCTGCAGGGAGAGGGCGGTGCAAGGGTGGGTGAGGGATGTGGGGGCCTCCCCTTTGTCCCTCGCAGCCCTGGCCAGGCCTCCTCTAGCTGGAAACCACTCTGAGCCACAGCCAGAGGTGGCGGCGGCCGAGGCTGGGGCGGCCTCAGTACCACCCTTGAGGTTCTAAGCTGCCACCCAGCCCCCAGTGGCCCCAGACTTGGGTCTTCTGTCCTGCAAGGGCAGAGCCCTGCCTCGGGAGGAGGAAGCCGGTAGTGACTGCTCCCGTGCCTCGCGCCCCAAATCCCGAAGAAGCAGGCCACCCACCGACTCATGGCGGTAAGTCTTGACCATGCAATCGATGATGCCCCGGTATGTGGTCTGGGTCTGTAGCCGCACCTGGACGGGGAAGACAGAGCAGGTGGGCAGGCGGGCGTGGCTCCAGCCCCGCTCAGGCCTCTGCCCCTGGGAGCAGGGTGCCAGCAGGGCAGGACAGGCAGGAGGGGCCTCTGCTAGCCAAGCCCTGCTCTTGGGGCGTCCTGACGTTTGGTTCAGGTGACATCTTCCATTCCTTGGGTACCTCCTCTAGACTCACCTTTACAGTGTCAAAGGGGTGTCCCAGGACCAAGCCCAGAGCTCCTGTGGTAACAAGAAGGTGCAGCAAGTGAGGCCCCTCACGCGTCTAAGGAAGCAAGTTGGCGCCGAGAGGGAAGAGGGCCCGAGGCTGGAAGGCGGGGGCCTTCTTCCAGGCCCCGAGACACTCCGCGGGCCCCCTTGGATCCTCCTGCATGCCAGGCGCTAGGCCAGCAACGTGTGGGGACAACAGGAGGGAGCCCCATCCTTGCCTGGAGGACACACGTGCAGGTGGCAGGGGCCCCCCAGACATGCAGCGTCCTCACTGGGAGCCCACCCCTGAGGGTCTGGCTTCTTTGGCCACGGCCTCTAGAGGAGTCTCAATAGCCCCTGCCTCCCTGGCAACATGACCCCTTCCTGCTTCCTTATCTTCCTTCCTTCCCTCCCTTCGACTCACAACCACTGTCCAGTTTGAGGCCTTGGTCCAGACCAGGCCCTGCGCTCTGGTGCTCTGCCACTGTCAGCTGGCACCAGGGGAGGAGGGTCCGGCCCCGGCTACCTGCCCACTTGCTGGCCTTGCCCTCTATGGCGGAGGCTGGTCCTGGGGCTTTGGGAGAGGTTGCATCCCCAGGTGGCAGGTTCAGAACGTCCCTCTCTTTCTCCTAAGAGAAATGTCACCCAGGAGCCGAGCTGGGCCCACAGCACAGCAGGCTTCAGGGCCTGGGCATCAGTTCATTGGCAGGTAGGGCAGAGGCTGCAGGGGGAATGCAGGGTGGCAGGGGAGGTCAAAGGTGAACTTCTGAGCCCCACACGGCAGGCCTGGAGAGCAGGGTTTGAGGTGCAGGTGCTATGGGTGTATCAGGGAGAGCGCTCACCTTGGCTCCCCCTCTCGGCAGGTGTCGGGCAGTGTGGCCTTGGGACACAGCAGGGGCACTCTGCCACCTGTGCCTTCCTGTCCTCTCCCCTCAGACAACTCCCAGGATGCTCTGGGATGGCTGACTTTGGGCACTCCAGGGGAACCAGGACTTTGGCCTCAGCCCCACCTATGTCCCCTACCTTCCCCAGGAAGTGACCCGCCACTGGGGGTGATGTGACAGAAGGAGGAAAAATGTCTCACCAGAGACCCAGCCGGCCACGAACTCCTCCGCAGGCATTGTCCGGCAGGTGGGATCTGGTATCTGAGGAGCCGCTGGTAAAAGTGTAACTCTACCCTCTCCCTCCCCAAACCTGGGCCGATAACCTCCCACTAATGTTTAACCCTGGGTGGAGGGTGAGCAGTGGCCCGCTGCCCAGACCTGGGGCACCAGCGGAGGGGAGCGAGCCAGCTTGGGTGGCCCTGACGAACCAGAGGAGGTGCACAGTGTGAAATCTCGTGGGGCAGGGAAGACAGCCCACGGCGACCTGCCCGCCCTGCTAGCCAACGCTGCTGCCCTTGAAGCAGGACCAGGACTGGCAGCCAGGCCCAGGCCCCCGGCTGGGCCCCTCCAGGCGGCCTCGGTCAGCGCGGGCTCAGTGAGTCTGCCCAGGCCGAGGCCCTGCTGCCCAGCCCGGCCCACTCTCCCATCAGTCCCCGCAGCACCACACACCAGGCGGCCGGCCAATGCCCGGGCTGGCGGGGAGGCTGGGGGGCCGGGGCATGGCTGCCAGGTGCAGGCCCAGCGGGAGGTTTTCCTGGGCACTGGGGACCCAGCGAAGCTGACAGGGCAGGGGGCAGACCTCCGCCTAGTTATTTACTTTGCCCCTGTGTGAGTCATGAACAGCCCCCCGGCCTCCTCTCCGCGGAGCCTCTTCCCCAGGGGAAGCGTGGAGGTTTGGGCTGTATAAAGGGTGGTGTACCTCTCTGCTTTGGGGTGACCAGGTTATGACTGTCCCTTTCTTTTTGGACAACTACAACCCGGACTGGGCAGGGCAGGGGCGTGGAAGATGAGGGGGAGAGGACAAAGAGGATCGGGCACAGAGGGCACAGAAATCTCATGCTCAGGAACCACTGCCAGCAGAAGGCCCCAATTGCAGGCGCCAGCCCTTAGAGTGGTCCTGGCCCCTCCCTTTCCTTCACACCTCACCACCATTCCAGGAGGAAATTGCATTAGTATTGCCTTCAAGCCCTGGCTGGTGTGGCTCAGTGGAGGATTGAGTGCCAGCCTGCGAAGCAAAAGGTCACCGGTTCGATTCCCAGTCAGGGCACATGCCTGGGCTGTGGCCAGGGCCCCAGCTAGGGGCATCCTAGAGGCAACCAATGTATCTCTCACACATTGATGTTTCTCTCCCTTTCTTTCTCCCTCCCTGCCCCCCTCTCTAAAAATAAATAAATGAAATCTTTTTAAAAACATTGCATTCTGTATAGAGGTGAATCTACCACCTTTTCCATGGCTATGACTCCAACCCAAAGCCACCATCCCCTCCCCTTGGTTTCCTGCCCCTGACTGGTCCCCCTGCCTCCGCCCATGCCTTCTTTCTAGTATGTTCTCCACTCAGCAGCCAGAATGATGCAGTTAACATCTAAGTCAGACCAGGTCTGTCTTCTGCTCCACACCCTGCAATGGCTCCGTCTTGCTCAGAGTCGGAAGCAAAGCACTTTCCCCAGGTTCCAGGAGTCTCACGGCGCCGTCCCACCCCCTCTAACCCCATCTCTGGCCACCCCCTTGCTTGCTTTGCTCTAGCCACCTGCCCTCCTCCTCTTCTTCAAAGGGGCTCCTGCCTCCAGGCCTTCGCCCTGGCAGTTCCTCCTCCTGTTGGCCCCTCCAGCTTGCGCTCCGAGGCCGTCCACCAGGTGAGCCCGCCCTGACCGCTTCATTGAATATTGCCATCTGCCCCGCCTGCCAGCATTCCTGGCACCTGTTCCTGACTCTACCTTTTCTTTTGTCTTTAATTTTCATTTATTGAATTTTTTTTTAAGAGAGAGGAAGCGAGAGAGAAACATTTGTTGTTCCACTTATTGATGTAGTCACTGGTTGATCCGTGTACGCGCCCTGACAGGGAATGGGATAAGCGACCCTTGGGTTCACAGGCTGGCGCTCAGTCCACTGAGCTACACCAGCCAGCGCTTAGCTTTGTTATTTAGCCTTTTTGATCCTGTTTTATCATCACAAAATGGAGATATAACACTCACCTTAGTGTGTTATAAGAATTAAGGCTCTTAGAAAGGGTCTGGCACATTGTACATGCTCCACAGATGGCAGCTACTATTATTCTTGTGTCCACTCCCAGGGTCGATGAAGGTGACATGAGGAAACACAGGAAAGGGCCTAGCACACAGCAGGTGCTCAGGCACTGAGGACCCGTTCCTTCCGGCTTGTGGCAGCTTATATTTTTTAGGGCAATCCTCTCATCTACGTAGGTTTTTGGTTTTTAAAAATAAAATTTAGCCCTGGCTGGGAATGTGCAAGAGGCAACTGATTGATGTATCTCTCATGCATCTGTGTTTCTCTCTCTTTCCTCCTCTCTACTTCTCCCTCCTTCCCTCTAAAAATAAATATAATAAATAATAAAATTTATTATATTTATTTTTAGAGAGAGGGGAAGGGAGGGAGAAACAGAGGGAGAGAAATATCGAGGTGAGAAACATCAGTTGGGTTCCTCCGGTATGCACCCCAACCAGTGACCAAACCCACAACCTAGGCATGTGCCCCGACTGGGGATCGAACTGGTGACCATTTTGCTTTGCGGAACGAAGCTCAACCAACTGAGCCACATGGGTCAGGGCTCATCTATGTAGTCTTAAAAATGTTTCGCCTGGGCTTCTCTCTCTCTCTCCTCTCTGCCTGCACTCCCCAATGAAACCGTAATATAAGCTTCCATGTAACACCAGGTCTCTGTCCCCTGCCCTGGCCCAGGGCCCAAACCCAGCAAGCTCTCAACAACAGGCAACTGTATTCCCACTTCGCTCCAGCGGGTTTAGGGAGGCCACCGAGCCAATATGTCCTGGTCTAAGGGTCACAGAGCTGAGAACCAGGAGGGAAACGCCTTCTCCAACTGTGACCCTTCTCTCCAGCTCACATCTGAGCTTCCCTGAGTCCTCAGTTCATGCTGGTAAGGAAGACAAACTGCGCTCAGTTGTGGGGCAGTGTGGGTCCAGGTGGGCAGGCTACGAGCTACTTCAAATACTGAGGGAAGTGGGCCTGGGTTAGGAGCTAGAGCTACATTCCAACGCCAGGGAATGAGCGCCTGGTGAGCTGGCCCCCACCCTCCCCCAACCCTGCCCTCCCTCAAACCCCTCCTGGTTCTGCTGATCATCAAGTTCCTTGCTGTCGTTTGGAACAACCTCTTGTACCTTTAGCTCAGGAAGGTGCCCCATGGACTTGTTTTTCTCCCTGAGAGGCACACCTCAGGCACACACATGCTGGCGTTGCCAGGACACGGTTGGCGACGTGCCCCCGAGGAGAGGCGGTCTCACACCTGCTCTTCCAGGCCGCAGCGCATTCTCCCAGCCTGCAAAGGCCTCAAGGTCTGCGAGGCTGTGTGTCTAAGATAGCAAGGGCTCATGTGACTGCTCCCTGGAAAACAAGTGTGCCCCGCCTGCGTATCTGGCATATCATTTGAGGATCCTTGGAGAGCATCTTCATTTTACAGATGAGGAATCAGGTCCGGAGGGGAAGGGACTTGTCCACGATGAGTCAGGACAGGGACCCGGTCTCGTAGCCACAGCAAAGAGCCCATCACCCAGGGTGCGCTGCAGTACAGGCCATTGCCTATGTCACCTTTACCTAGAGCCCAGCACAGTGTGAACCCCTGTCCCACTTAGCATCTCCATTTTACAGGTGAGGGGTATAGGTCCAAAGCCACACGCATGGAAGTGCCAGGGCTCACGCCTAGATCCCCAATAGCCTTGAACCTTCCGCACCCTGTTACAGGCCATCGGTGTGAGGGCCACGCGCCCTTAGTCACTCGGGTGGGTGGCGAGGCTGGTTCTTAGTACGGCCACCCCAGGGTGTGCCCAAACAGAAAAGGTGTGTGACCGGCTCGTCCCGAGCATGCGCAGGACGGCGGAGAGCCCGTGAGCGCGCGGGCCCGGGCCAGGGCGCGTGCGTGGCGGCCTCAGGCTACAATTGGCTCCCGCCGGCCCGGGAGGCGGGGCCGTGCGCCCCGCGCTTCCTCCGTCCCAGCTCCCGGCTGCGACGCGGAAGCTGGGTCCCGAGACGGGAGGAACAGCCCCGGTGGGCGGCAGAACCCGAACTGGAGCTGGGGGGTCGAAATCAAGGCAGCAGCCTGGGCTGAGGCGGCTGGCCCCGCGTCCCTGCGAGGTGAGGGCGCGGCGACGCCGTGCGCTGGCCCCCGCTGCGACGGGGTTGCTGGTGCCCTACCTGGGCTTGCCGGCGAGCCGAGCCCCCGTCTCCCCACCTCCCACCCCCGTCCCCAGCTCGGAGTCTTCACGGCCTGGTCCTCCCACCAGCCCTGACCTGGAGTTGGCTGAGGACCCGCTCACCTCTACCCCTCTAGTCTGCACACCAGTGCTTGCAGCCCCTTTGTTCACTTTCACACGTCAGCCCGGGACCCCTCCCTTCCCCAGGGAGAGCTTCCCCAGCACCCCCAGCCCCGGACCCCTAGTCCAGCTCTTTTTCTTTCCCTTTGCAGATGGACGGGACGGAAGGCAGTGTCGGGCAGCCCGGCCCCGCTGAGCGGTCCCATCGAAGCAGCGTGTCCTCCGTGGGAGCCCGAGGTGGGTCCCTGTCTCCGTCTCCCTGCCTTATACTCCTGGGGCCCCACCCCCAGGGATGTGGCCCTGGCTTTTCATCTCTTCCATTAAAGAGAATCTTAGGTGTTAATTAACAAATAGGGTATGTTGAGGTATGGAAGAGCGACCCAAGTCAATCAGAGGACCTGGGTTCTGTTACTCGGCTGCTGGCCAGGTTGGGTGCTCTTCTTGAATCTCCCTTTCCTCATTTGTAAAATGAACGGGTCTCACCTAGCTGTGAAATTCAAAAGAAGTCTCATGAATGAAACGTGACCATTCACTTTCTTTGTTGGATTTCTTTCTCACAAACACCGTTTTGAAAGCAGGGATCATTACCTTCACTTTATAGGCAGGAAATTGGCCCCTGGAGAGGCTAAGTCGCAGGACACTGGAGCCTTCAGTGCCTCGGTGTTCCCTGCCTGAAAAGTGGGTCTGAATCTCAGCTTCCTGAAGATTATTGCATGATCTCTCAAGAAAGTAGCTGTTGGGAAGCAGACTGGGTATCCAAAAAGGACTTTCACTTGTATTAATGATAAGCTATGCCCTTGCCTTTCACAGGCTTCACCTCATTTGATTCGCAACCTCTCTTTGAGGGAGGGGTGTTAGCCCTGCTTTGCGGGTGAGGCCGCCTACTCTCACTGACTTGCCAGAGTCACCCAGGTAGCCTGGGGCCAGGTGAGGGCTGGAACCCGGGTAAATCGGCCTCAGAGCTCAGTGCTCCTTCCCGGCAGCTGCGGTTCCAGGGATGGGGATTTGAATCTGGCTGCTCTTCCAAAGGTCTCTCTTTGGCTCTGGGCTCCAAATAGGAATCCCAGAAGCTGTCACAAGGGAATGCTCAACCTGTACATCCCCAGCCTGTTGAAGACTATCCTGAACGGCCATGGTATTGAGTACGAAGGCTTGAGGAGCCCTAAGGAAGCTGAGCACTGGATCTTGCTTCTCTTTGGGGTTCCTTGAATCCTCGGTTCCCACCTTAGTCTGGGCCAGAGAGACATGGCGACTTGCCCAGCTCTCCCCGCTCCCAGCCTGATGCACTAACTGCTCTAACCTCACGCTGCACTCAGCCTGTCTGCCTCAGTCCCCACCGGTGGGACGTTCTCCTTCAGGGAAGAAGCACAGGACGGTCTTTGGAGTTTTGACGGGAGTGGGGGGGCAGTGGCCAGCCCTGATTTCAACATTTGAGGTTAGAGTGCCGCTGGGTCGGCCCCTGGTGCTGGGTGTCTGGGTGGTGCGAAGGTCTGGAGTAATTCCTGACAGGCAGCACTCTTCCCAAGGTCCCCTGGGGGTGCTGGGGCTCTGCCTCTAGAGTGGGGGCGAAGGGCACCTGAGGCTCGTGCCCGTGCCTGGGCTCCGGGCCCAGCTGACCCTGCCTGGCTTCCATTGCAGCGCCTGACGTGCTGGTGTATCTGGCAGACGACTCAGTGCTGCCCCTGGCCGTGGAGAACCTGTCGTCCCTCAGTGCCCACGAGCTGCACCGCGCCATCCGTGAGGTCCTGCAGCTCCCAGACATCGCTGCGGATATCTTCGCGCTCTGGCTTGTCTCCCCTCTGCTGGGTAAGGCTTGCCGTGAGAAGCCCGGGCCGGAGGGCTGGCAGGGTGCTGACTGCGGCAGGGAGCAGGCGGCTCCTTGACCTGTGGCCACCGTACCTCGGGGAGGTGGGCTTGTGTGTGGCCTGCAGCCGTCCGCCCTTCGGAGGGCCGAGAGCCCTCAGAGGATACCTTTGTTCTTTCCGGGTGGCAGGAGCGGGGCAGGACTAGGAGGCAGAGAGGGAAGGGGTCTGCGTGCACGGAGCGCATGGCCTGTGCCACGGCCTGCGTGGGCATGTTGCGAGCAGAATTCCACCTTCTCCTCGTGGCCCGGCCCTGTCTTGCAGGTGAGGGAATCGAGGCTTGGCGTGGTGGGACCAGTGAGTGGGACGACCGAGATCAGAAGGGAAGCCCCGGTGGCCCCCAGCTGACCTCTTTGAACTGCACCTTCTCTTGAGGGCAGGGAGGAGGGTGGCACTCAGTGCAGGAAGCAGCCATCCCTGAGGATGAGACTTTTCCTGCGGGTCAGGAGGGCAGGACAAGTGGGAAGCCAACTTCTCTGCCAGGAAGCCTGCAGCCCTGCCTGGTTTCTGGCCTGTGCCACCAGTGTCCTGCCCTTTCAGGATGAGATGCCCAAGGCAGGGATGGGGCGGGAGTGAGGGCCATGGCTCTCCAGACCCTCAGGCCTGGGAGGGTGAGGGCTGGGAGTTCCCTGGGCCCTCTGAATAGGGCCTCCAACCAACCGGCCTGGATGGGAAGGGGCCGGGGAGGGGCGCCTGCTGGTGCCAGGCATGTTTCCTGAGCTTGAACTTTCTTGTAGAAAAGCAGGGGCAAGAAGAGGGTGACTGGTCCCCGGGGCCCCCAGGTGTCGTGGTCTGTACCTCTGCCCTTGAGAGGGGGCATCAGCCGGCTTGGCGGGAGAGGGAGTGCCTGTCCTCCCCCGCACCCGACCGCCCACACACCATGCCCGCCAGTTGGGGCTTCCCGCCCAGCTGCTGCTCTCGCCCACCCTCTTCCTGCTGACCCGTCTCCTCCAGCTGCTCCCCACCCACTGCAGCTGTGCTTCCCTCACCCTCCCGGCTGTGAGTTAGGACTGTGGGCCCTTGGCTCGTGTCTTTGAAAAGCTAGGGGTGGCGGCTCCATGTGGCCGGGCCCTGCCTCCGGCTCCCTGTCCCTGCAGCTGGATGGCTTGTTTTCTCCTCCCATTTCCTCTGCCCCCGCTCCCTCCTCATCACATTCCTGCTCCCCTTCAACAACATGAATGGGCTGCCTATGTGGCCCTGCTGGCCTGGTCACCCCAGGGTGCTGCCTCATCTGGAGGAGGGTGGCCAGAGGCCCTAGCGCGAAGTCAGTGCCCACTTTGTCCCCTCGCTGAGCTCAGGAAGGCTGAAAGGCCACTTCAGCTTTGACTAGGGCCCTGCAGGACCTTTGCACCCCTCCCCCGCGTGGGTGAAGCTCTGACAAGACGGCCCAGGGCTGTGCGGCAGGAGCTGCTGGCTGCTGGTGCCGCCTTTCCTTCAAACTGGATGTTTGGGAGGGTTTGGCCTCCCCATGCCCGCTGTCACTCTGCTTGGAACAGGGCTCCGAGAACAGTCTGTTTGGGTAGCAGCTTCCAGGCAGAAAGGCCCCATCTGGAAGTGTGTCTGACCACGCGGTTAGCGTAGTCCCGTCTTGATGATGGAAGTCCTCTGAGCTGCTAGGGCTCGGGGTTTAAGGTTGGTCAGGGCTGGGCCATAGCAGAAGGAAGGGCTCTTTGCCCCAGTGTCCAAGGGCCCCTGCTTGTCACTTGCCTCATTTACCTGACAGGCATGTGCAGAGCCCCCCTGTGCTGGGTAGCGATTTGATGCTGGGAATCCAGGGGGGAGCAGACCGAAGGTATCCCTGCCCTCGGGGAACTTGCAGTCTAAAGTGTGGGGTGGGAGGATCAGTGGGCGGAGCCCTGTTCACTGACTGGTGGCCTTGGATGGGCACTGCCCCTCCGTGGGCTTTGGGGAGTCTAGATCGGTGAGTCTAAATCAAGAGTGTGCTTGGAGGGTCCCACTGAGTGGGTCGGGAGTTGCTGAGGGGGCCCTTCCTGGAGGGGAGGGGTGCTGCTGCACGCAGTGCGTTTCCCTCCGGGGGGTCGCAGGGCGGGGGTGCTTCCGCATGGGTGCAAGCAGGGATCTAGGCCGGAGATGAGGTCCCTGGAGCCACCAGGAGACCTGGATCAGAGAGGTGATGGGAGGAGAAGGGCTGTGGAGAAGCTGCGTGCAGGGGTCGGGTGGAAGAGGCTGTAGGCAGGGAGGGAGGCCACCATGGAAGCTGTGGCTTCTGTTGTGGGTAATAATCAGGGTCCAGATAGAAGCCCAGAGAACAGAATCTGGGACCCTGGGCATCAGGCTGGCAGGACAAGGTGCCCGGCCCTCTGGTGGGAGGGATGGAAGGAGGAGATAAGGGTCAGCAGGCAGGGAGCTGGCTGACGGCGCAGCCATTGCCATCCCCCTCCCTGTCCTGTCCCCCGTCCCCGGCGGCCATTCTCATTCATCACCAGATGGTCTTGGAAACGGCCTCAGACTTCTCAGAGGCTGTGGGCTACAGGGCCCAGGAAACTGCCCTGTCACTTCTGGACTGAGCCGTTGAGTCCTGGGACTGGCTGACAGTTGGGCTGAAGGGCCAATCTGTGGCGAGGGCCCGCGGTGGGCGTGGGGTGCATCCGCAAACTGGACCGGCGCGTCCCTGCCTTCGTGGCACTCAGGCTAGTGGGGCGCAGACAGTGAGGGGAGGTCAGATAGTGCTGACCCCTATAACGTCAGCCAAAGTGTGACAGGCGACAGGGAGGGGCCACCTTCGTTAAGGGTCCGGGGAAGATGACGCTTGAACTGAGACCCAAGCCAGCCGGCCATATGAGGCTCTGGGGGAAGGGTACTGAGGCAGGAGGAACGGCAAGTGCAAAGGCCTGGAGGCACAAACAAGCTGGGAATGTTCTAGCAAATGAAGAGGGCTGGATGGGAAAGGGAGCAAGAGAGGTGAGGTGGGGCAGCTGGATGATGGGCGTCTGTGGCCATGGAGGCCTGGAGCTTGCAGGACAGAGGGCCAGCTAGAGCTCCCAGGGGAGATGCCGGAGGTGGGGGTGGTGAGCCAGAGGCCCCGGCTCTGCCAGGGGCGGGGGAGGGCAGCCCCTCGGGTCTTGGTCACCAGACTTGGACTCTGCTTCCTACTGGCACTGCTGGCTCCAACTGTACTGCCACCCTCAGCACCTTCTGTCTGCAGCCTACCCTGGGCACTGTAGGGAACAGTCAAAGGCTGGCTGTGCTGTGTGATTGTGAACAAGCCACTTAACCTCTCTGAGCTTCGTTTTCTCTGAATGAAATGAGGATGGGGTGTTGCAGAGCATACCCCTAAAATGGTTCCTGACACTCAGTACCTGCTCAGGGGACATTGCCCACGACAGCCATCATGTCGCTGTTGGGCAGGCGGCAGTTGCACTTGCGTGTGCCCCAGGGTATGCCCTTGCTCTCCCGCCTGCCTGCGCTGGTAGAGGCTGCATGGCTGCCCCGTCTCCCCCTGCAGAGGTGCAGCTGAAGCCCAAGCACCAGCCCTACAAGCTGGGCCGCCAGTGGCCAGAGCTGCTGCTGCGCTTCACCGATGCCCCGGACGATGACGTGGCCACAGGTCAGTGTGCTCTGGCCAGCCCCCGTCTCCGGGCCCACCTGGGTCTGGGGCACTGACTCCCAGCCCAGCTGGGCCTCTGGTGGCAGCTGAGGCTGCCCTGGCTGAGGGGCAGGGCCACTGTCTTCCCCAGGTCCCATCAGTGTCTCCTGGCCGGGGGGCGCCAAGGGGAGCCCCCGAGAGGGTAGGGGGGAGGCCTGTGAGCATGTGGAGAAGAGCCACAACCCCTGCCTGGACAGCTGTCAGGCTCTCGCAGTCACGGCCCAGTGAATGAGGACCGGGAACCGGGCCAGTCGAGCGAGGGCGAGGCAGGGCTGAGTGGTGACCCCGGCCTCTCCCCCAGATGAGCCTTCCCTGCAGTTCCGAAGGAACGTGTTTTTCCCAAAGCGGCGGGAGCTCCAGGTGAGGCAGCGAACCCCAGGCAGGCCTGGTGCCCTGTGCTTAGCCTCCTCTTGTCCCTAGAGCCCTGGACGCGGGCACCCTAACTGAGCCGAGCCACCCTCCTGCCCCACAGGTCCATGACGAGGAGGTCTTGCGGCTGCTCTACGAGGAGGCCAAGGGCAACGTGCTGGCGGCGCGGTACCCGTGCGACGCAGAGGACTGCGAGGCCCTGGGTGCCCTGGTGTGCCGTGTGCAGCTCGGGCCCTTCCGGCCTGGCCGGCCCACTGCCTGCGCCCTGAGGTGAGGCCGGCGCGGCCTGAAGCAGGGGCCCAGGGTGGGGGAGGGGTGCCCCAGAATCCCGCTTACAGGTGGTCTTAGTGCTTGCAAGGTGCCGGGTCCGGAGGCCTCAGCCCCATTGTCACAGTGGGCCCTTGGGTGAGTCGCCCTACCTCCCCGGGCTTCCTTTTACTCGTCGCCCTGGGCTGAGGGGCCTGGGCAGGGGAGACGAGGGCGAAGTGACACCTGTGTGGGGAACCCTAGCGTGCGCGAGGGTGGGGCTCAGCCTCCCTCTGAGATCAGGAGGGAGCTGCGCTTGCTTATTCGTAGTCATAGCCAGGGACTGCGTGGGAGACAAAGGATGAAAATGCCCACAGCGGTCCTGAGAAGGGTGGGCAGCCCCCTGGAGACCCCTCCTCCTGCCACCCTGCAGTCAGGCTTCTCCAGGCCCGCACAAGCCCCTCAGCCCTCCTGCTGGACCGGCCGCGCCGCCCCAGGAGCCGCAGCAGGCGGGGAGCTCAGCACGCGGAGACCGAGCTCCAGCTGCGGGTCGGTGGAGCGGCAGCGTGCGGCCCACATGGTCACAGGCTGCCCAGGACAGAAGGACATGAAGTCATGCCCAGAGTCTTCCTTCCTCTATTCTGTCATGAGCCCGTGTCAACAGATGGGAGTCTGGTATTTTTTTACATCCCTATGTGGCAGAACAGAACATTGATAGTTCTGGGTCACTGGTACCATTTTTTGGCTGTCCAATTTCCACTAGTACAGAAGGCAAACCTCCCTTACTTGTGACCCAGACATTGCTATGAAACCCTCCAGCCTTGGCCTCGTCCTGGAATGGGCCTGGTTTCGGCTCTTCTCCGTCTCCCGACTTCAGGTCCCTCGCTGACCAGGCCAGCTGCTGGGATGGTGGCAGTAGGATCCCTTGGCAGTCCGTGTCCAGGGCTTCCCCCCCACCCCCGAGAGCGTGTCTGCCCTGAGGGCTTGGGCGGCCACGCCAGCCCCCAGCCACGGAGCCCCTCCTCACGCCGAGCATCCACCTCGTCCCTCCGCAGGGAGCAGCTGGACTCCTTCCTCCCGGCCCACATGTGTAAGCGGGGCCACGGGCTCTTTGCTGCCCTCCGGGGCCGTGGGGCCAAGGCCGGGGCCAGTGAGCAGGGCCTGCTCAACGCCTACCGCAAGGTGCAGGAAGTGGCCAGCAGCGACAGCGAGCACGAGGCCGCCCTGAGAACCCACTACCACGCCTACCTCCTCAAGTGCCACGAGCTTCCCTATTACGGGTGAGCACCCTCATGGGCAGCCACAGTCTTGGGGACCCTCTGTCCCGTGACAGTCCTGGCCTTTGCTAGTGCGGCCTCCTGGTGAGCCCATCTCTGCTCCAGCCGAGCTCCATGCTCATGTGAGGTGTGCCTGGACGCCAGCACCTCCAGCCCCACGGGTCCCAAGCTGGGCCCTTGTCCTTCCCTTCCTCCTGTCACAGACCAGGGCGCCCTGGACAGGCCCTCTCCTCCCTCCTGCCCTAGGCAGCCTCCTGCTGGTGGCTCTGGTCTGCCTGCGGTGGCAGCATTCAGGGTCCAGGCGACCCCTCAGTTACCAAGGAGACCCTGATCCTTGCCTGGTGATGCTGCCAGTCTAGTGGAGAGAGAGTGAACAGTAGACGTAAAGAACAGGCTACAGGCGGGCAGGGCCGCAGCCAGGCAATGGGTGAGGTCTGTGTGACACTTCTCTGAAAGAGGGACGTGGCTCCGGCCAGATGGTGACAACGCAGGAGGCGAAACGTGGTCTGATTCTGGAGGGATGGAGGATGGATGTGACAGAATTTTCTGGATAGAGGTGCAGTCGCAGAGGTGAGGGAGAAGAGGCAGGGGAGGACTCCAGGTTTCTGGCCCAAGCAACTGGAGGATGCCATTGTCATCGCCTGAAATGGGACCATGCAGTGGAACAGGTTGGGGAAGGCTGGGGGGGCTCGGCATGTGTTGATTTTGAGGCACTTGCTAGACACCCAGGCGGCAGTTCTGAGTAGGCAGCGGGGCTCGTGGGTCTGGAGTTGGGTGGTAACAGGTGAGTCAGCAGCATGTGGATGGCATTTGAAACCAGGGACCCAAAGAGACAGGTCCATCTGTGGGTGGGAGGAAGATCCAGGCCAGTGAGGCGGGCGGTTCTCCACAATCAAGCAAAGCGAGGTTTCAGGAAGGGAGTGACTGAGCATCCTGTGCTGCTGCTTCAAGGTCAGGTTCGACATGTCATGTGTGGTGGATAGTTGTCCTTGGCTCCAGCATCGTGGAGGAGACAGCAGGTCCAGGAGAGTGAGACAAAGCCCGGAGGCAGGGAGAGCAACCCACTCTTTCAAAGAGCTGTGCTGTGGAATGGAGTCAGGAGGCGAGGCAGCAGTTGTGGGCGCGCTGGGGACAGAAGTTAATTTGGTGACGGACGAAGTGTGTGTGCTGATAGGCACGGTCCAGGAGAGAGTGAAACCCCGAGGTGAGGGTGGGCGAGCGGCCCTTCTTCTGGCTGCTCCAGTTTCCCCAGCCCCCAGCCAAGCCTGCAGAAGTCTTCCAGGGGCGGGGTCGCAGCTGCTCTCCTAATTGAAGGTGGTGAGTGCCTGGCTTCCGTCCATCCCCCTGCGCCTGTACAAGTGGCCACAGAGGACAGGACTGACTAGGGCGCTGGCTTAGCCCAGGGCAAGGGGGTGAAGGGCCAGGGCAGCCACAGGAGTGGGAGAGGACACGGCTGGCAGGAGGGAGAGGGGGGCAGCTCAGTGGGCTGGTGCCCCGAAGCCACTGTACCCTTTTTCCTTCTCAATGTCAAGCCCTGAAGCTGCTTCCCCAACCCCAACCCCTTGTGCACCCCAAGCTGGTGCAGCCTTGACCCCCTCTCTTCTGCTGAAGGGGCCAGCAGGGCCCTCCCAACCCCCCAGCAACCTCAGCCCCCGAGTCCTCCGGCGCCTGGGGGCTCCCTGCCCATCACTTTTATGTCCACACCTGGATGCACGCTCTCCCCTCTGCCTGTGGAGCCCTCCTTTCTGACTCCCAGTTCGACCTCCTGCCTGTTCAGACCCTCCTGTCCTGCTCACCCAGCTCAGATGCCACCTCCGAGGAGCCTCCCTTTCACTCCACCCCTGGTTCCTTCCTCCCCTGGGGTGGGCTTCCATTTAACCTTCAGTCACCGGGCCTGGCCAGAGCATTCGCTGGTGGGTGAATCAAGACCGTGGGCTGTCTGTTCGCCATGCCAGAGGGCACAGGCTGACACCAGCTCTGCTCCCCAGATGTGCCTTCTTCCACGGCGAGGTGGACAAGCCAGCCCAGGGCTTTCTGCAGCGGGGCGGCCGAAAGCCAGTGACTGTAGCCATCAGTCTGGAGGGTGTGCATGTCATCGACAACAGGGAGAAGGTACCTCCAGCTCCTCCAGGGTGGGTGAGGGGGTCTCAGCGGAGAGAAAGGGAGTGGGGTCCTTACCCAGGCCTTCTGGGTTCCCCTGGGCCTGTCGTTGACCTTGGGGCAGAGTGGGCGGCCTGTCTGGGACGGCCGCTCCCTCCCTTGGGAGTCCCTGGGGCTTTCACTGTCGTCCTGAGGGCTTCTCCGGGTCTGCTCTGGGTCACCTCTTCTGCCCAGTGTGCTAGGCAGCGGGGTGGCCAGAGCAGGGGGGCTGCCGCTGGGATGAGCACCTGCGACTGGAGGGAGGCTGGCAGGGCCCGGCTGCCCTGTCCAACCAGTGGCTGCACATCAGCTGCTGGTTTCTGAGAAATGCCCGCCATCAGGAACCCTCCTGGGCTGTCTCGGTGCTGCTTCTCACCCCACACTGGGTGCTGGCTCTCCTGGCGGCCCGAGACGGAGGTGGTGTTGGCAGCTGCCTGGTGGGGCCGCCTCCCTGCACCTACACAGGAGTCCCTGCCGGCAGAACAGCTTGGGGCAACTTCTGGTGGTCCCCAGAGAGGGATCCCAGCCCTGTCTGGGCATCTGTGTTGAGGTGCTACCCAGCTGACTCATGGGAAAGGCCTCCCCTCCCCACCTGCCTCTCCCCCCACGCGTGTATCCTGGCAGGCGGGCCTTGACCCACTGGTGAGAAGTGCTGTGGGCCGGGCGTCTCAGCCTCCCGGGGCCCCGCCCCTTCCAGGGGACTCCTCAGAGAAACTCGCGTGCACAGGTTTAGACTCAGCCTTGGAGTTAAACAGCCAGGAGTCCCCTCCGGGTGGCACCTGAGCCAAGCTCTGCCTCTCCCGCTGGCCAGCACGTCCTGCTGGGCCTGCGTTTCCAGGAGCTGTCCTGGGACCACACGTCCCCCGAGGAGGAGGAGTCCGTCCTGTGGCTGGAGTTCGATGGGAACAATGAAGGCACACCAGTGAACAAGCTCCTCAAGATCTACTCCAAGCAGGTAGCGGGGCGTCGCCTGCACTGGGGGTGGGGGGTCGAGGCTGGGCTCAGGGGTCCCAGCCTGTTGGAGGCTCCAGCCTGGCTGACAAGGAGGTGAGAGGGCTGCCGAGGGCCGGACAGACCTGACCTGGAGCCGCCCTGGGGTGTCGCGGGCCTGGTCTGGGGCGCTCACGCACACCGGGTGGTGGCTGTTGGTTGAGGGCTTCCCGGGGCTGTGCGACCCCCCCACAGCAGCGCCTTCTGTCCTCCAGTCACCTGCTCTGAGGTGAGGAGCAGGCAAGGGAGGGTCAGGGCCCCCCTGCATCTGTGCTGCCGCCTTCACTGCCCAGTTCATTCAGCACCAGGTCTTCCCACCCAGCCTCCACCCACCCCCTTCCCCTCCTTGTGGAGAGGCTGCCCCCGCCCCCGCCCCGCCAGGGCCCAGTCTGGACCGCGTTTCTCTCGCCTGTCCTCTCAGCACCTCTGCAGACAATGCCCCAGACTGCAGACTCCAGTCTCTGAAAGAGATCATCCTTCCATCTTCCTTCTCTGTGGCAGCCCGGCTGCGCTCCTGGAAACACCTCTCCTGTTCCCTGCGGAGCCTTCCGGACCTCTGGCTTCTTTCCCTCCTCGTTGCTGGCCCTCCTCTCCTGGGCCTTCCCTGCTCGGGTCCAGGAGCTTGTGACTCTCACGGTCCTCCCTGAGTACTCCGCTTCCCCATCTTTATGCTGGTGACTTTTCACACTGCTAGTTTAGATCTCTTTTTAAAGTAAATGTATTGAATTATAATGTGCCTACAGAAAAGTACCCAAATTCTAAGTGTATAATTCAACAAGATTTTCCCCAAACAAACCCATGTGCCACCTTTCAGATTAGAAAATAGAACGAGGGTCCCAGGAGACCCCTCAAGTACCCTTCCAGTCCTTCCTCTGACAGAAGGGACCCCCCCTTCCTGACTTGTATCACTCCAGAGTCGTTCTCTCTGTTTTCAAACCTTCTGGGGGGGGTTGTTCCCACAGTGTGTCCCGCTCTCTGGTTCTTGCCGCTGGGCATTGGCGTCGAGCTGGTGAGCTCAGCCGTGCTGCACGGAGCAGCGCCTTGATCTTTGCCGACGCTCTCGGTGTTCCAGTGGCTGAGTTTGCGGGCCTTGACTCTTCCCCTTTGGTGCTGATGGACACTCTGGTTTCTAGTTGGGGACTGTCGTGAACAGTGCTGCTTATGTGGGTCACACCCAGGGGTGCAGTGGCTGGGTCACAGGCGGGCGGTGACCGGCGCTGCCAGTTAGCCGGAGCAGTTGCGCCTGCTGGCCCTCGGCAGGGTGGCGTGCCAGTTGTCCGTCTGCTCTCCAGCAGCTGATTGTCGGCCTTTTTCATTTTAGACACCCTAGTGGGTGAGGAGTAGTATCCCATATTTTTTCTTTTATTTTTTAGTTAACTTCATTGAAGTAAAATTTACAATAAAATGGACCCATTTTAAGAATGAGTTTTGAAAACCGCCACCACTATGGTCAAGCTGTGGAGTGGCTTACTTGCTTCTATATCTGCCTTAGAGGTGCAATGTTTGTCTCATCTTTTGCATATTTTTGGTGGCAGTATTTCCGTCACCCTCAGATCTCTGCGTGGTTGTGATTGGCGCGCCCCATCACCCGCCGCCGGCGATGCAGAGCACCTCGTACAGCTTTATCCGCCATCCGGATAGCCTCTTCGCTGAAGCCCTTTGCCAGTTTTTTTTCGGAGCTGCCTTTTTGAAATTATTCTCTACATTCCTCTGCTATTGGACATCTCCCCTACGCTGCCCCTGGAGTTTTGCTTTATCCAGATGCCACACGAATATGTTTATCATTCAGTGCCTCCACGTGTCCCCAAGAGAAACGAGTGTCCGCACAGACTTGTACTGTCATGTTCATAGCAGCTTCGTTTGTCATAACCAAAGAGCTGGAAACAAGACGAATGTCCCCAGCTGGTGAACTGACGAAAGGAGTTGTGCCGCAGCCCTGCCATGTGTGTCCACGCTGGCCGCAGCCCTTCGAGACTGGCTGCTTTCACTCAGCGTCACGCTTTTGAGATTCATCCCCACTGCGCTGTGCATCCGTCCGTTCCTTTTTACTGTCGTGTAGCATTGTCGCGTTGGGGTGCCACAGGTTAGCTCTTCGGCTGCTTAAGGACATTTTCGTTGTTTCCAGTTTGGGGATTTTGTGAGGAAGGCTGCTGTGAACATGTGTGCACAGGCTGTTGTGGCGGCCTGCGTCTCCGTTTCTCCTGTATAAACACGTGGGAGCGGATGGCCGGGTTGTAGGAGGAACACACGATTGGCCGTACTGGACGCTGCCAGGCTCGTCCCCAGACTGGGCTCTCCTGCGTTTCCTCCAGCGGCGTCTGCGAGGTCCGGTCGCTCTGCATCCGTGCTCAGCACTTCAGCTTCGTTCGCTGAGGTTCCCTCAGCTTCGTTTGTTTGCCACTCTAGTTCCTGTGTAACAGTGATAGGTCATTGTGGTTTTAGTTTGCATTTTCCTAATGACTACAGTGAGGTTGGTCATCTTTTCATGTATTTATTTGCTATCTGTGTGTCTCTTTTGATGGAGTGTCTATTCACATTATTTGTCCTTTCTTTACTGAGTTGTTTGTTTCCCTCTTGAGTTGTGAGCTTGTTACATAGTCTGCACGGCAGTCCCTCATCAGATGCATGTTTTGCCAAGTGTGTTCTGTCTGTCTCTCTGCAGTTTTCATTGTAACAGTGTCTTTTGGAGACATGTTTCTGAGTCACCCAGTCCGTTTATTTGCATTACCTCCCTTTGTTGGTCTGGCGTTTCTTTCACTAATGTTTTAGTTTTCAGCATATAAATCTTGTCCATTTATATTTTGATTTATACCTTAGTATTTATTTTTTTCCTTTTTGGTGCTATGCAGCCTTTTGAGACTGCATGGTAGATGGTATGTGTTACGATCCCCACAAGTATGAGCTCAGAAATTAGAGTTTGATCACACACTCTTTATTATTTGGCCAAGTTTTACCTGCGCAGGGGCCACCTTTCCCTCGAAAGGAAAAAAGGCGCGCCGCTGTAAGGGTACACGGGTTTTTATAAGCAGAGCAAGCAAGCAAGATACAAGGGCGAGAAGTGGCAGTTAGCAATAGGCAGCTTCTTTCTTTCTTTTTTTTTTTTTTTTTTTTTTTTGCTGATTAGGTTCAAGGCTGTTACTGGGCCCCCTACTCTTTCTCTGGTCAGGATGCCTATCTGAGGCAAGGCTCAACCCTCGCCCTATGCCTCCTCCTCATTCTTGTCGACTCTGGCCCAGCTGCATGGGGGCTGCACCCTGATATGTTTTTCTTGGTATTTGTTTCTCCCTTATCCTCAGCTCTGACCTTGCTCTTTTTTGGGCTATTTGTCTGAGTCAAGGCTCAGCCGTTGTCCTATCTTGTTACTAAGGGAGGGGGGCTCTAATTCTTCCCTTCATCTTGGGGTATTGTTTGTTCTAGTTTCTTGTTTCGGCCCAGGCTTGACCTAGTGTTAAAGTTTGGCCCCTTCAGTATGTTTTTAATTTCAAAACTGAATTTCTAGTTTTCCATTGTGGTATATAGAAAAGTAGATTTCGTTGGCCACGTTTCTTATATCCTACCACCTTGTTAAACTCACTAGTTCTGAGTGATTTTGTAGGTGCTTGGGGATTTTCTCTGTTGACAGTTGTGTTGTCTGTGAATAGGGACAGGCGTACGTGACTTGCCAGTCCGCGTGCCCCTCACTCATCTTGGCTGCTGGCGGTCACTCGGCTCCAGCGGTGTGAGTCTGCACGAGCAGACATCGGGACTTGCTCCTGACCTTGGGGGGAAGCGTTCAGTCTTGCTCTCAGTACATGATATGTTAGCCGTGGCTTTTCCGTAGACACCGTTCATCAGGTTGGCGAGCTGCCCTTCTGTTGCTGGTTTGCTGAGTTTTATCTGGAGTGGATGTTGAATAGTGTCGAATGTGACGCAGCAGTCTCCTGGAGTCTCAGCAGTGTCATGCTGTGTTAGAGGAACTCGGCATCCCTTTGGTACTGGCAGCTCAGGGCCCTTGGTGCCTCCTTCCCAAAAGCCCACTGTCCACTCTCCCTTGGTGGAGGAAAGGAGGCAGGTATGAGAACAGGACACCGGCTCCTCCTTCCGGACCACGCAGGGTTTGGGCCCAGGGCTAGTTGTGCTGCTTTAGAGAGGCCTCGGGCTGCACTGTGGGTAGGCAGGAGCCGGACCACATCTGTCACCGTGGGGCCATCCCTGTGGCTTCTGGCTCGGCTCTCCTAGTGGGTTCTCCCCTTGGAAGCACAAGGCAGACATTCCGCCCGCCCTGTCCCCGCTCTCTCACTGCCTGCCGCAGCCCCAGTAAGTGTGTGTTGCCTGACTAGGGGACACCACCCACTGACAGCTTTCTGCCTGTGGATCTGGCAGTCCCCTGACATGCCCCGTCCTATGGTGTCCAGACTGTGGTCCCTGACATCTGGTCACTTCGCTTTTTATATCAACATGTGTTACATTTCAAATGTATTGAGAAGGCCTCACTTTTAAAGAATGTGCTCAGAGGGAGCCACCCACCCCACCCCACCCCACCCTAGGCCCTCCTGCCACCTACCTCCTCATGGGCCTTCAGGCTTTCCCCTCAGCCAACTCCCGCAGTTCCTTCAGTCTGGAAAGCCCTGCCTGGGCCCCGCCCCGCCCCGCCCCGCCCCGCCCCGCCCCGCCCCGCCCCGCCCCCTACCCGCCCTGGAGCCCTGCGCTTCTCTCACCTCCCAGCCTGAGTGCTGCAGCCCTGCCACCTTCCAGATCCTGGCCTGGGACCCCGGGACCCCTGCTCATCCTCCAGGACTGGCCTCTAGTGTCCCTCCCGATGGAATGCCTGCCCTGCCCCCTGGCCCACAGATCACCTGCCCATTCACTTCCTTTCTTATGTGAATGGTATTTTTTTAAGGGCAGGGTATTTTTTTTATTTATTTGATTTTTAGAGAGAAAGAGGGAGAGAGACAGATGTCAATTTTTATCATTGCATTTATTTATGCAGTCGGTTGATTCTTACATGTGCCTTGACTGGGCATCAAACCCACAGCCTTAGCTTCTGGGGATGATGCTCTAACCAGCTGAGCTATTTGGCCCGGGCTGTGTAAATGGTATTTGTTTCCTCATTTGCCTCCTGGGCCATGGCTCGCCCCCTAGTCCTCACGAAGGCCTCTCTCCCCTCCCCAGGCTGAACTCATGAGCGGCCTCATCGAGTATTGCATTGAGCTAAACCAGGCCTCAGAACCCGATGGCCCCCAGGAGAGCGTGTCCGGCCCCTCCTCGGCCGCTGGCTCCTTGCCCCCTCCCACTCAGCGCCCCCAGCTACGGAGGCAGGGCAGCGTGGTTTGCAGCCGGATCCAGCACCTCTCCACCATTGACTACGTGGAGGACGGTGAGTGACCCCTTGAGGTATACATACCCACACGCACGCATCCCAGGCACACACGTGTACATGTACGTGCCCCGGGGGGCTCTGGAGCAGGGGGAGGGCTGCGTGTGTCACATCCGAGCTCTGTGATCCGGAACTGGAGACCTCTAGGGCCCTGGAGGAAAGAGTCCTGTTCTCCCCCTTCTTGCTGCTGCATCCACAGATGTGTTTGTGTAGGAGCGTCCAGATGTGAAAGGACAGAAACTCCCGAGGGCTGCTGTGACGCGTACAGAAACAGTGGAACCTCGTCCTGCGAATCAACATAGTTGGTGAAAACGTGATGCCCTCAGCGCAGTGTCATACCTTGGATCAGGTCCGGGAGCAGATGGGGCACTTGTGGAGGAACTGGGGAAAGCCAGACGTCTCTAAAGTTAATAATACTGTACCAATGTTCATTTCCTATCTTTTTTTTTTTTTTTTTTTAAGATTTTATTTTATTTTTAGAGAAGGGAAGGGAGAGAAACATCAATGTGTGGTTGCCTCTCTCACGCCCCCTACTGGGGACCTTGCCTGCATCCCAGGCATGTGCCCTACACTGGGAATCGAACTGGCGACCCTTTGGTTCACAGGCCAGCACTCAGTCCACTGAGCCACACCAGCCAGGGCTCCTTTCTTATCTTTGATAAACGCACTAGGGCACCAGGAGATGCTAACATCAGGAGAGGCTGGATGAGGGTATTACTGTTTTTGCAAGTTCTCTATCAATCTAGAATTATTCCAAAATAAAAAGAATTTTTTAATGCAGTAACACAGACCTACATTTAAATGGCAAGATGTTTGAGTAGAATACTGAGTAGAAAAATGTCAGGTAGTAGGACAGCAACATGCAGGTGGCATCTGTGCGCAGGGAGAGACACCGCTGTGGTGACCAGTTGCTATAACTTACTCTTTCTTTGTGCTTTTTCATAGCATTTAAATGTCCTACATGCATGTCATTTTTACAATTGGAAAAAGCAAAATAATTTTTCTCTAACACAGCTGTAAGCACTTGCAGTCTTGCTCAGCACGGGCAGCACCGTCACCCCGTCCCCTGCTGGGGGGCATTACAGTTATTTCCAGCTTTCAGCTACTGCAAACATCATGCCTGTAGCCAAATCCTTCCCTGGATTCTCAACTGTTTCCTCAAGATAAATTTCTAGAAATCAGGCCGCTGGGTGTAGGGGTGTGCCCCTTGTACCCCTCCCAGAAGAGGGGCGGCACCTGCCTCCCACACCCTCACCCACCAGTGAACGTCACAGCACAACATTGCTAACTATAGAGACGTCTGGCTTTTCCCACTTCCTCCACAAATGTCCTGTCTGCTGGAGGGCCCGATCCAAGACACAGCACAGCGTTTAGGGCATCACGTTTTTACCAGCTGCGCCGATTCACAGGACGAGGTTCCACTGTTTCTGTGCCCACCCATCACAGCAGGCATCGGGGGCTCCTAATCTTGCTCATCTGGATGATAGTGGGTGTTGTTATCATCCAGAGAGAGAACGGGTGCAGGTTGCTGTTGGAATACTAGTGAAATTGGACCATTTTTACATGCTTGGTCATTTATATTTCTTCACTTGTGTTGCCTGTTTTTCTTGATTTAAAATAACATTAATATGGTGTATTTTTTATAAGTAATGAACCAACGTTGATATAGTACTGTTAACTAACATCCTCAGTTTTGAGTATTGTTCTTTCTTCGTTCCGCGGTCCCATCCAGGACACCACACTGCATTTAGTTGTCACATCTCCTTAGGCTCCTCTTGACTGTAACAGTTTCTGACTCTCCTTTTGTGACCTTGGCAGTTGTGAGGGGGGCTGATCAGGGGTATTTATTGCAGGGTTCCCCTTCCCTGGAGGTGACTGCATTTATGGCTTTTGGGGGGAGGGTCACAGAGGCATTTTTATCACATCACATCGAAGGTGTGTTATCAACATGATCCATGACCGTTGATGTTGACCTTGATCACCTGGCTTGAAATGTTTAACCTGTAAGAATTCTTTTCGTCTCAGTGAGGCTCACCTTCAGCTAGTCCTGTATGTTATACATACTTTGTTTCTTTAGTATTCTTTTTTTTTTCTTCAGTCTGTTCTTGAACAAGTTTTAGTAAAAGCCCCTCAGGCACCACAGCTGGCCCCCCATCACACACAAACCCGGATTTGCGTCCGATTTGGGAGGCTGGTGACACGCCCGCCCCACGCATCCTGTTGCTGGCGGGCAGATGGGTGGGGGGAATGGGGCCAGAAAGGCAGCAGGTGCAAAGAGGGCAGCTCAACCCACACCAGGCTCGCTGGGGCCTGGGCCCCTCGCCAGGACGCCCTCTCCTCAGTGCGCCCCTCTTACTCCTCGACAGGCGAGCAGATCAAGCGGGTGAAGCCGAAGCGCACAACGTCCTTCTTCAGCCGGCAGCTCTCCATGGCCCAGGGGAGCTACACGGTGGTGCAGCCGGCGGAGAGCCTGGAGCAGAGCTGAGGCAGCTGGGCAGGAGGAGGGCACAGGGAGGGGCGGGCCAGGGGGGCCGGAGGCTGCCTCGGAGCGTGAAGTGCCTTCTGTGCGGGAGGGCCCTGCGGCTGCTCAGAGCTGGCTTGGGGACCCCCTCTGGCAGCCCGTCTGCCCTCCTCCTGCGCTCTGGGCCCCGCCGCCGTCCCAGGACCATCTGATCAGGCCCCAGCCTCCCCCGTTCACCCAGGTACTTGCCTTTGTGCCCCCCTCATGACGGACAGTGCCCTCTGCTCTGACGCCCCCACTGGCGGCCCCCACGGCAGGTGGGCAAGGAACAGGGCTTGGGGCCCGCAGGTCGAGTGTGTGTCTTTGGTGTATTCCCTAGACTTCAGCGACCACATGCCCGCATTCCTTCAGCCCGCATTCCACCCACACTGCCAGGTGGGTCCATCACTACAGAGGTGGGACAGGGGCCTCTCAGAGGTGACCCATGGCAGGGATAGAACAAGAGTCCCCCACTCGTACCCTCCCTGGCTGGATGGAACTGGAGGGAGCTGGGCAGGGCCCAGCCCAGGGGGCACCTGTGCCCCTCAGGCCTCTCTTGTAGGCAGGAAGCGCTGACCAGAAGGAAAAGTGCCTTTTTTCTAGCTTTTGGTGATATCACTGTGCTGGGAGGTGGCTGTTCTGGGCACCAGCAGGCCCACCAGACCCACACGCCACACTCTGAGGACTCCCAAACCCCCATGGGTTTCAGGTTTTAGTTCTCTTTTTTCTCATCTGCTTTGGTTCCGTGAAGCCCGTGAGCTCTGGGGCGACTCAAGAGAACCCCCCAACCTCGGAGCTGCTGGCTCCCTGTCAGGTGGTGCTGTGCTTTCCATCTGGCCTGGCCCTGTGGGCCTCCGGGCCAGGGAAGTCCCGCCCCCAGCCCAGCTGGCCTCCTCTTTCTGGGAATGAGGGGCAGAGGGTGGCTGTGGTGCTGGGCGGGGCTCCTCTGCGCTCTGCGGTGGGGCCCTGGCTCTGGGCGCCTCCTGGGACCTTCATTGGAAATGGGCAGGCCCGCCCATGGCTGCATTGTCTCCCCTTTGCTGCCAGAGCCCACTTCTCCCTCTTGTGACTTCTGAACACTCCAGATACTCTGAGGCGGGCTTTCCTTCTGGCAGCAGGGACTCTGTTACTTGTCCTAATAGATTTCCCAGCCTTTTGGAATGTCCCAGCCAGAGGACATCTTGTCCCTCCTCCTGGAGTGACTCACTTCACTGGCTCCCAGCCCTCTGTCCTCTCCTCCCACTCCCTGTTTTGATGCCAAGTGAATTCTTATCTGATGGGCCCGTGGGGGCCTGTGGGGTGTGGTGGGTTTGTGTGCGCACAAATTACTTGTTTTTACTCTTTCTCCTTCCTATTTTCTAAGTGTTCATTGTGCCTTAACCTTTTCTGCCTGTCCTCTGGGACAAAGCCGCATTTTACTGAATGTCCTTTGAATATCCTTTCTTTTGTACCATGTGACTTAATAATAAACCAGTGTCCAGCAACTTTAGTGTAGTTTATGATACAACAAGAGTGTGTTATTTTTTTATTGTTGATTTGAGAGAGAGAGAAACACTGATTTTTTGTTGTTGTTGTTCCACTTACTTGTGCATTCATTGGCTGATTTTTTATGTGCCCTGACCTGAGATCACACCCACAACCTTCGTGTATGGGGACAACCCTCTAACCAACTGAGCTACCCAGTCAGAGCAAGTGTGTTAATTACAGCCTGACAGTTGATCACAGCCATGTGTTGGCCTTTTATTAACTATGCATCAAGGGATGCAGCCCTCAGCGCTCCCAGACTGAATTTGGTGAGGCCAGAGTAAAGTTTTCCAGTCTTGGTGGTTGGTCAGGGTAAGAAGGTCCTAGAGGGTTTTGGGGGTTCATGGTGGGGACCAAGGTGGGAACTCTGGTGGGTGGCAATGAAACAAGGAGTGACAGAAGGCTGGCTGGAGCCTTTGTCCCCGTCCTGGGACCTAAGCCATATGCCACCAGGCTCCTCCTCACACCCGGGGGTTGGGGCACAGGGCCTCAGAGGAGAGGCCAGAGAACCCAGGGGAACACAGGCCTGGGAGATTCTGAGCCCCCCCTGAGGGCCCCTCGTGGCCTGGGCTGGGCCGGGCCGGGGCAGCGTGCTTCCCACGGGCCCGCCAGCGCTGGGCCCTCCCTCTGGAGCACTGCGAGCCCCCAGGAAGCTGCACAGTGATAACCACGGGCTTCATTTCTGAGGTGTGAGCACCATTTGGGGGTTGAGGAAGTCCTGTGTCCACAAAGCTGGGAGGAAGAACAGGATTCGGGAATTCACCTGCAAGGCCATGGCCTGTGGGGGGCACCGCCCCCCGACTCTGGTGGGTAAGGGAGCCCCAGTAGCCTGGGCCTGGCAGGCCTGGAGCCCTTCCTGTCCCCAGTGCTCTTTGTCCTCACCACCTGTGTTAGCTTCCTGTGGCTGCTGTAGCAAATGAGCACAGCCTTAGGGCTGAAAAGAGCACACACTCATCACCTCAGAGTTCTGGGGGACGGGTCTGAAAGGAGCCTCACTGCACTAGGGTCCAGGCGTGGGGACAAGGCTGCAGTTCATGTTCTAGGGGAGAATCTGCTTGCTTTTCCAGCTTCTACAGGCCACCTGCTATTCTTGGCTTGTGGCCCCTTCCCCGGTCTTTAAAGCCAGTGAAGGTGAGGGGGTCCTCAAGACATGAAGCGTGACTCCCTCCTCACATCTCTCTCGGACATGCCTCTGCCTTCCACGTCCAGGTTTGAGGGCCCTTGCGACTGTTTGCTGGGCCAAGGCAGGCAATCCATGTAACCTTCCTATAGTCAGTGAGGAACGACTTTTTTTAATCATTTTTGATTTTTCAATTACAGCTGACATACAATATCATATTAGTTTCAGGTATACACACTAGTGATGAGACATTATAAACTTACTAAATGATCATCTGATAAATCTCACACCCATCTGACACAATACGGTTATTAGAATACTCCTGACTAGATTCCCTGCGCTGTGCTTCACATCCCCTTGGCTATTCTGTTACTACCAATTTGTACTTCTTAATCCCTTCACCTTGTCAACATAAAAAACATTCAAACCTATAGAGATTTTTTGTGAGTGTATTTGAACCAAAATGATGACAACTGCTAGGAAGCAAAACCTCAAAATATGGAGGAAATACTCTGGAAAATACCCAGTTTGCACCTTATTTTATACATTACAATCAAAAGAGAAGACGTAAGTGGGTTACATGAAATCCACTGGCGATAGATTAGGGGGCGGGAGAAAACCGAGTGGAGAAAACTCTTTGGGACTGGATAAAAAGTAAAGTGGTAGACATGTACTTCTTCACAGAGGTGAGTACAGGGCAGTTAATAGCAATTAATATGATGACAATAACAATGGGGGTTTGTGGGTGTGCTGGTGCTCTGAGGGGTCTGGAAGAAATTACTTGGACATTCCAAAGATATGTAGGTGCAAAAAGAAGACAAGCTTAAGGTAAGGATCGACTTTTGTCAGAGAAGATTTGGGCCTAAGGCATGACCACCTGCCATAAACTGATTTCAGTGGATAAGTCTTCATTTCATACCGCCCTTTGTGGTTACTTCAGGCCTCTGAGTTTGTAAGGCTGCCTTGCAGGCCTCTAAGCTTGTCAGGTTTCATAAAAGGCCCCTTTTTGTCCACAGCCTTTTTTTATCCAACCCTCTTCTTATCTGGCAACCACCAAAATGCTCTCTGTGTCTGTGAGTCTGTTTCTGTTCTGCCTGTTCATTTATTTTTTAGATTTAATCGTTGATAGATATGTATTTATTGCTATTTTATTGTTCATATTTAAAAAAATTTTTTTTTGCTTCTTAAAGAAGACCCTTTAACATTTCATGTAATAATGGTTTGGTGGTGGTGAACTCCTTTAATTTTTTCTTGTCTGGGAAGCTCTTTACATGTTCTTTGATTATAAATGATAGCTTTGCTGGATAGAGTAATCTTAGCTGTAGGTCCTTACTTTTTCATCACTTTGAGTATTTTTTGCCAGTCCCTTCTGGCCTGCAAAGTTTCCGTTGAGAATTAGTGGACAGTCTTATGGGAGCTCCCTTATAGGTAATTCTGCTTTTCTTTTGCTCCTTTTAAGATTCTCTCGTTACCTTTAACCTTTGGCATTTTAATTATGATGTATCTTGGGGTGGTCCTCTTTGGGTCCAACTTGTTTGGGCCTCTCTGTTCCTCCTGGGCTGGTTTGTCTATTTCCTTCACCAGGTTAGGGAAGTTTTCCATCATTATTTTTTCAAATATGTTTTCAATTTCTTGGTCTCTTCTCCTTGCAACACCTTCAACCCCTATGATGCAAATCTTGGTACTCTTGAAGTTGTCCCAGACGCTCCTTACACTATCTTCTTTTTCTCCTGTTCTGATTGGGTGTTTTTTGCATCCTTATGTTCCAAATTGCTTATTTAATTCTTGGCTTTATATACTGTACTGTTGATTCTCCATAAAGTATTCTTTTTTAAAAATTATTTATTTGTTTTGTATTTTTCCCATTACCATTTAGTCCCTTATACTCCCTCCCCCTCGTTCTTCATTTCAGTCCCTTTTTTATGCCGTTGAGGTCCTCACTAAGTTCACTGAGCATCCTTATAACCAGTATTTTGAACTCTGCATCTAGTGAATTGCTTGTCTCCATTTTGTTTCATTCTTTTTTCTGGAGTTTTGTTCTGTTCTTTCATTTGGGACATGTTTCTTTGTCTCCTCATTTTGGCAGCCTTCCTGTGTTTGTTTCTATATATTAGGTAGAGCTACTATTATCTCCCAGACTTGGTAGTGTGGCCTAATGTAGTAGGTGTCCTGTAGGATCCAGTGGCACAGCCTCCCAAATCCCCATTCTCTCTCTCTAAAATCAATAAATAATAATTTAAAAATAAATAAACTTTCTGGTATAATTTGAGTCTTGGCTCTGAATTCTTCTCTTAGCCAGAACTCAAGAACTGAGGCTGCTGAGCCGAGGTTACCTGGTGCCATTTTGTTCCTGCTGCTAACACCTTCACCTGTCAGGCTGGATGGCTGTCCTCTGGGAACAGAACAGACTGGTTATTGTTTAACTCATCTCTCCCCTGCCATGTAACACCAGGCAGGTTACATGCCTGGGCTTCCATTTCGTCTTCTCTAAACTGGAGGAGGTCATAATACCTGCATCTTCAGGATACTGGGGAAGAGCGATGCCTGTCTAATCTCTTCACATTCCCAAGGGCAGAACATGTGGTTTTGCACAACTCTGTGAATGATGGCACCTGTTTGCTGAGGCGGGGAGGTGGCTGGCAAGGGCTCCTCATTGCGGGATCAAAAGCTCTCTGAGTCCCAGTTTCTTCATCTGTGAGGTGGGGACAATCGCCCCCACTTTACGATGGTGTAGGTAACATCGAGCAACATATGTAAAACATCTGTGGCCTGCAACAGCTGCATCGGTGTGTGGCTAAGTCAGGTTCATTCGTTCATTCATCCCGTATGACCCGCCCCGTTCCGGAGGTCATTTTCATGCCCCCATTGTTCCCACCTGCATTCATTTCCTGGGGCTGCCTAAACAAACTACCAAATGGGGAGGGGGCAGTGCTTAAAACAACAGACGTGTATTGTCTCATAATTCTGCAGGCCAGAAATCCACCACCAAGGTATGGACGGCACTAGGCTCTCTCAGAAGCTATCAGGGATTCGTCCTGCCTCTCGCAGCTCCCTGTTTTGCTGGCAGTCCATGGGTCCCTTGGCTTGCAGCTGCATAAGCCCAGTCATGCCTTCATCATCACGTGGCTTCTCCCTGCGTGTGCCTGTCCGTACATGGCCATTTTCTCATAAAGACAAAGACCCCAGTCATACTGGATTAGGGGCCCACTCGACCTCACTTCATCCTAACTAACTATACCTGCAACGATAATAGTTTTAGCTAAGATCAGATTCTGAGGAGCTGAGGGCTAGGGCTTCAACATGTCTTTTAAGGGGGGGACACAATTCAACAGTTCAACCCATAATACCACCCTAAGAGTTTGCTGTCTTGGCCTCCTTTTGGGGCTTTTTAAATACATCAAAGGTTGTTTTAAAATACCAGCTGTGCTTGGGTTGCATGGAGAAGCAGCAGTGGTTACCATCCCCACCAGCCTGGCACTCGTGGCTGGGCCCAGCTCGGCCAGATCCTGGCTCCGGAGGTCCCCAGAGCAGAGGAGACCCTGAGGAGGCTGCCCATGGGCATTGGTGCAGTGGCACAGGATCTTTATGGCTCCCAGACACCCACCAGTTCATCAGGTAACAGAGCTCACAACACAGGTCATCCCATTGTCCTGACTGAGTCTGGGGCATTTCAGGGTCAATTCCCCGCCACTTAGAGCTTCTGAGAGCCTCCAGGCACTTTCTCTCTGTCCAGATCAGCCCCACATTTAAGAGAAGGCAGGCAGATTATCCAACCTCATCCGGAATGGGTGGCAGGGCTCGGTCAGGCCACGACTTCAGTTTTAATCAGCAAGCCCGGTGCCCCAAGTAGGCTGCTTGTTGTGCTCTGACTGGGCTGCCGAATATGGGGGGTGAAGAAAGGGAGGAGTCCGCCAAGGGCCCTGCCTGCTGGTTGCTGGTCTGGCTTCCGCCGGCAGGGGGCAGCTGAGCCCACCCTTTCCTCCTCCAGGTCTGCGCAGAGGCGGCAAACTGGCACCGCCCACCCGGATGTACGCAGCTGGAAAAACCCGGGGCTTGGGTCTGGGGTTGCGTGGCCGCACCCTCGCGGAGCAGGCGTCCGGGCTCCTGACCGCCTCCCCATTCCTCCGGTCCCTGATGGAGGGTTCCTGGC